CATAATTTTACGTAATTTCCATCTATTCGGGGGTGGTTTCCAGGGTGAGTTTTGAGATCCAGGGTAAGTTTTGAGATACAAATTCTGAAACAGGGTAGGTATGTTTTGTCTGTTCGTTCTGATGATATTGTGAAAAAATGATTCTCAGAAACGATCATTGCACATAATTTTACGTAATTTTCATCTATTCGAGGGTGGTTTCCAGGGTGAGTTTTGAGATACAAATTCTGAAACAGGGTAGGTATGTTTTTCTCTGTTTGTTCTGATGATATTGTGAGAAAAAAATTTTCAGAAACGATTATTTCACATAATTTTACGTAATTTCCATCTATTCGGGGGTGTTTTCTAGGGTGAGTTTTTAGATACAAATTTTGAAACAGGGTAGGTATGTTTTCTCTGTTTGTTCTGATGATATTGTGAGAAAAAAATTTTCAGAAACGATTATTTCACATAATTTTACGTAATTTCCATCTATTCGGGGGTGTTTTCTAGGGTGAGTTTTTAGATACAAATTCTGAAACAGGGTAGGTATGTTTTCTCTGTTCGTTCTGATGATATTGTGAGAAAATAATTTTCAGAAACGATCATTGCACATAATTTTACGTAATTTTCATCTATTCGGGGTAGGTTTCCAGGGTGAGTTTTGAGATACAAATTCTGAAACAAGGTAGGCATGTTTTCTCTCTTCGTTTTGAATATATTGTCAGAAAGAAATTTTCAGAAACGATTATTTCACATAATTTTTCGTAACTTTCATCTATTCGGGGGTGGTTTCCAGGGTGAGTTTTGAGATACAAATTCTGAAACAGGCTAGGTATGTTTTCTCTGTTTGTTCTGATGATATTGTGAGAAAAAAATTTTCAGAAACGATTATTTCACATAATTTTACGTAATTTCCATCTATTCGGGGGTGTTTTCTAGGGTGAGTTTTGAGATACAAATTCTGAAACAGGGTAGGTATGTTTTCTCTATTCGTTCTGATGATATTGTGAGAAAATAATTTTCAGAAACGATCATTGCACATAATTTTACGTAATTTTCATCTATTCGGGGTAGGTTTCCAGGGTGAGTTTTGAGATACAAATTCTGAAACAAGGTAGGCATGTTTTCTCTCTTCGTTTTGAATATATTGTCAGAAAGAAATTTTCAGAAACGATTATTTCACATAATTTTTCGTAACTTTCATCTATTCGGGGGTGGTTTCCAGGGTGAGTTTTGAGATACAAATTCTGAAACAGGGTAGGTATGTTTTCTCTGATCGTTCTGATGATATTGTGTGAAAAAAATTTTCAGAAACGATCATTGCACGTAATTTTACGTAATTTTCATCTATTCGGGGGTGGTTTTCAGTGTGAGTTTTGAGATACAAATTCTGAAACAGGGTAGGTATGTTTTCTCTGTTTGTTCTGATGATATTGTGAGAAAAAAAATTTCAGAAACGATCATTGCACATAATTCGGGGGTGGTTTCCAGGGTGAGTTTTGAGATACAAATTCTGAAACAGGGTAGGTATGTTTTCTCTCTTCGTTTTGAATATATTGTCAGAAAGAAATTTTCAGAAACGATTATTTCACATAATTTTTCGTAACTTTCATCTATTCGGGGTAGGTTTCCAGGGTGAGTTTTGAGATACAAATTCTGAAACAAGGTAGGCATGTTTTCTCTCTTCGTTTTGAATATATTGTCAGTAAGAAATTTTCAGAAACGATTATTTCACATAATTTTTCGTAACTTTCATCTATTCGGGGGTGGTTTCCAGGGTGAGTTTTGAGATACAAATTTTGAAACAGGGTAGGTATGTTTTCTCTGATCGTTCTGATGATATTGTGTGAAAAAAATTTTCAGAAACGATCATTGCACATAATTTTACGTAATTTTTGTCTATTCGGGGGTGGTTTCCAGGGTGAGTTTCGAGATACAAATTCTGAAACAGGGTAGGTATGTTTTCTCTCTTCGTTTTGAATATATTGTCAGAAAGAAATTTTCAGAAACGATCATTGCACATAATTTTACGTAATTTTCATCTATTCGGGGGTGGTTTCCAGGGTGAGTTTCGAGATACAAATTCTGAAACAGGGTAGGTATGTTTTCTCTCTTCGTTTTGAATATATTGTCAGAAAGAAATTTTCAGAAACGATTATTTCCGAGATTATTTCACTTAATTTTACGTAATTTCCATCTATTCGGGGGTGGTTTTCAGGGTGAGTTTTGAGATACAAATTCTGAAACAGGGTAGGTATGTTTTCTCTGTTCGTTCTGATGATATTGTGAGAAAAAAATTTCAGAAACGATCATTGCACATAATTTCACGTAATTTTCATCTATTCGGGGGTGGTTTCCAGGGTGAGTTTTGAGATACAAATTCTGAAACAGGGTAGGTATGTTTTCTCTCTTCGTTTTGAATATATTGTCAGAAAGAAATTTTCAGAAACGATTATTTCACATAATTTTTCGTAACTTTCATCTATTCGGGGTAGGTTTCCAGGGTGAGTTTTGAGATACAAATTCTGAAACAAGGTAGGCATGTTTTCTCTCTTCGTTTTGAATATATTGTGTGAAAAAAATTTTCAGAAACGATCATTGCACATAATTTTACGTAATTTTCATCTATTCGGGGGTGGTTTCCAGGGTGAGTTTCGAGATACAAATTCTGAAACAGGGTAGGTATGTTTTCTCTCTTCGTTTTAAATAAATTGTCAGAAGGAAATTTTCAGAAACGATTATTTCACTTAATTTTACGTAATTTCCATCTATTCGGGGGTGGTTTTCAGGGTGAGTTTTGAGATACAAATTCTGAAACAGGGTAGGTATGTTTTCACTGTTCGTTCTGATGATATTGTGAGAAAAAAATTTCCAGAAACGATCATTGCACATAATTTTACGTAATTTTCATCTATTCGGGGGTGGTTTCCAGGGTGAGTTTTGAGATACAAATTCTGAAACAGGGTTGGTATGTTTCCTCTGTTTGTTCTGATGATATTGTGAGAAAAAAATTTTCAGAAACGATCATTGCACATAATTTTACGTAATTTTCATCTATTCGGGGGTGGTTTCTAGGGTGAGTTTTGAGATACAAATTCTGAAACAGGGTAGGTATGTTTTCTCTCTTCGTTTTGAATATATTGTCAGGAAGAAATTTTCAGAAACGATTATTTCACATAATTTTTCGTAACTTTCATCTATTCGGGGTAGGTTTCCAGGGTGAGTTTTGAGATACAAATTCTGAAACAAGGTAGGCATGTTTTCTCTCTTCGTTTTGAATATATTGTCAGAAAGAAATTTTCAGAAACGATTATTTCACATAATTTTTCGTAACTCTCATCTATTCGGGGTAGGTTTTCCAGGGTGAGTTTTGAGATACAAATTCTGAAACAAGGTAGGCATGTTTTTTCTCTTCGTTTTGAATATATTGTCAGAAAGAAATTTTCAGAAACGATTATTTCACATAATTTTTCGTAATTTTCATCTATTCGGGGGTGGTTTTCAGGGTGAGTTTTGAGATACAAATTCTGAAACAGGGTAGGTATGTTTCCTCTGATCTTTATGATGATATTGTGAGAAAAAAATTTTCAGAAACGATCATTGCACATAATTTTACGTAATTTTCATCTATTCGGGGGTGGTTTCCAGGGTGAGTTTTGAGATACAAATTCTGAAACAGGGTAGGTATGTTTTCTCTCTTCGTTTTGAATATATTGTCAGAAAGAAATTTTCAGAAACGATTATTTCACATAATTTTACGTAATTTCCATCTATTCGGGGGTGGTTTTCAGGGTGAGTTTTGAGATACAAATTCTGAAACAGGGTAGGTATGTTTTCTCTGTTCGTTCTGATGATATTGTGAGAAAAAAATTTTCAGAAACGATCATTGTACATAATTTCACGTAATTTTCATCTATTCGGGGGTGGTTTCCAGGGTGAGTTTTGAGATACAAATTCTGAAACAGGATAGGTATGTTTTCTCTGTGCTTTCTGATAATATTGTGAGAAAGAAATTTTCAGAAACGATTATTTCACATAATTTTACGTAATTTCCTTCTATTCGGGGGTGGTTTCCAGGGTGAGTTTTGAGATACAAATTCTGAAACAGGGTAGGTATGTTTTCTCTGTTCGTTCTGATGATATTGTGAGAAAGAAATTTTCAGAAACGATTATTTCACATAATTTTACGTAATTTTCATCTATTCGGGGGTGGTTTCCAGGGTGAGTTTTGAGATACAAATTCTGAAACAGGGTTGGTATGTTTCTCTCATTCATTTTGAATGTCCTGTCGAATATAAATTTTCAAAAACAATGAGTTAATTTGGTTTTGATTAGTACTGAAGATATTCATCTATATATAGGGGTAGTAGCACCCTATTAGTGTGTATACCCCAATTCATCATTATAATCATCATATTGACGCAAAACATTTGGATCGCAATGGTTTCAGTCGATATCTGAATGTTAAAACGGAAGAATCGATGTGATAACATTTTATACCTGTGCGCATATACTATCATTTCGTTTCCGATACGGCGACCGTTTCTATTTTCACACCGGTGATTCTTAGGATGAGGAAGACTTATAGAAATGTTAAGTATGTTATGTTATGTTAAGTATGTACATGATACATCTGAACCTGAAAAGGTAGTGAATATGTCAAAATAAGTTCAGCTTGGCCACCTGTAAATACCATTCTGCATGTGTCTGAGGGGGCAGGAGGCAAAAAAGTATCTATATTGCATAGCTCTTGGACTATCAAGACTATGTTTGTTCCAATATGAGAAAACAATAGGATGGTAAAAACATACTAAGCTTGGTTTGTTGTTAAGACAGTGGATTAGCACTTCAGAAAAACGTGCACTCATGAAACCTCACATGAAACTCATCACCAAAGCCAAGGCAACCATGTAGCCAACAAAAAATGAGGTTATGAAAAGATGTGACTTGCCCTCAATTCAGCTCATTTTTTTATAATTCCATGATATTGTAAAATAGGTATGTTCACAGTTTCTTACCTCGTCATCTTCACTCTCTTCAATTTCTGGTTGCCTCTTCTCCTTCTTCTCAGAGATATCATCCATTGATTGAGAACCTTCTTGTGATTCCATCCCGCTATCAATATCAATTTCTTCAACTGTTGCCATAGATTGAATAATATGATTTGAATACAATAATTGTGATTCTATAATTATTTTACGATCTGTTCAAATTGCGGAACATTTGCGGAAACAAATAGAAAACTTTGGGAAATCTCAAGCAAATAAGTTCAATGGGCTTATATCACAAAAAAAATTTATTTCATAATTCGATAGAACCCACCCAAACTAGCTCACCACCGCAAACCGTTTCTTGCTGTGAGCTCCCTACGTTTTATAAAAAATTATTGAAATCCCCGATTTTTCGAACCTCTGAAAACGAGGCGATGATGTGACGTCAAAACCCTAATACTGAAACAAGACTATTCCAGACAGAGATGAATGATACATGATTTCTGACAAATCAATTCTAACCTAGATTGACTTTTTGCAGCTCTATGTGAAACGGGTCAACAAAGCAATGTTGCTATGTTTATGAAATATATTGGATTATTGTGAAATGTTAATGGTGCAAATGGTTTTGAGATTGAGACATTTCGTTGTCTATAGATTGTTTATACTCCAATGATTCAACCTACAATCGACAACTCGAATATATTTTTCTGCAGTAGTGGTAGTGGATATCAAAAGATATTTCAATATCGATTTCGATTTCTCGGATATTTTGTTTGGATGATATGGCAACAGTAATAAGTGTCAGGAGAGTGTCAGTTTCAACCATATATCTACTATTTCTATATATGGCGCATCGCCTATACGATATCTCAACAAAAATGAGACCAAAATGAGAGGTACTGTTTGAATCTATATGAGAACGAAAAGTGAAGGATCGAAACAGCCATATTGGTTTGACAAATTTCCTATTATTTTTTCCCTACGTCGGTATCAACGCCTATTGGTCGATTTCATTACCTATAGAGACAGAAATGGGTTTTGCTTTGAGGAGAGCTATGATTCATATATCAGTAGTAAATATATATGGTTTATATATATATATATGGCGAGATGGGGTTTCTACGTCATAACAGGGTCTCCGTTTTCAGAAGGTACTATCATTTATGTCCAAAAATAAAACATTCCAGTTAATTTTTCGATCGAATTATGTCGTCAATCATTATTTATGTATAAAAGGATCATTATAAACATGGTTTGAGTTAAAAGTTCTACTAAGGTGTACACGCCCATTCACGCACTACGCAGGCGTAAGCTGAAATCCTTAAAAACCATGCGTGAAATGGTGAAAAGTGAAATTCAATCCGATTTGAAAACACGTAAATTTCTTAAAATATTTGAACGGACACAGTTTAACTTACATTTTATTTTTCCGGATGAAGATGACTTTCTTCTTGTCAGTCTCTTCCCAATCTCATTCGATATTTTTTAATCAAAAAATTTTACAAATTCAAAAACAATATTTTGGCACTTTTGCTTTTTGGCTTAGAAAGTGACATGGGACAAAGACAAGGATCATGGGACATTGGGACATAGGACAGGTTGCGTTGCGTGGTTGACATTGTATTTTAATCATATATTTACTATTTCTATATATGGCGCATCGCCTATACGATATCTCAACAAAAATGGGACCAATGCTTTTAGAACCTATAAGGGCGGAAAAAATAATCCATTTGTATGTACGCTGACGAATGTTCAGTAAAAAACTATGGAATGACACACCATGTATTTTATTCCATAATCGATTAGTGATTATTATAACGAAATTATACCGGGTTTGATGAAAGCCTATTTCACGCATAAATACATAACTGTTATAGGCCTCTACAAAATCAGTTATTCACGATAAAATTATAATAACTTGGCAACCATCCAGTCATTCATTTGAAAAACTCATCATCAGCCGATATCTTGGAATTTGAACACCCTATAGATATGGAAATAATTTTAGGTTATGGTTTTAAGGAAACCCTATAGCTTTTGTATTCGAATTTTGTATTTTTTCAAATAATCATCCTATATATTATTCAATTCTTAGAATCTCCATGAAAAGCTGGATTCAAATATATTACACATATGATTTTTATACAGTGCTTCCGTTGAATTAAGTGCCACCGTAAAGTGAAAAAATGAACAGTTGGATTCAAAAATATATTACACAATCATAGGGTTTGTATACAGTCCTTCCGTTAAGTGCCTCCGTGAAGTAGTAGATGAATTCGTTGGAAATTATAGAAATAATTATGTGAAAGAACGTTCGAAGCCGTCGAATTTTATTTTCATTCGGGCATTATTTCAAATTCAATCAATATATATACATAAAGAATGATTCGTGTCTGAAAAACTATATCATCGCGGTATTTTTGAATGGCACCCCTATTTTACGAGAGCATTGAATATAGGAGTTCCTGAGATATTTTCGAAAAACCTCCGGAATTTATTGTCACCCCCTGTAAAACTATTTCTCCATATCATCATTTGTCATAGATAAAATTTCATCGTTCGGGAATGCATCGGTTAGAAGGATGACGTAACTAATTAGTCATCAGAATAATGAATCAAGCCAGCCATTCATCAGTCGCATATTAGATTTCGTTGTGTACGGTCGATTCAATATTGGTGAATAAACTTCTGATAGCATTTCAAAAATTGAGTATCCATTCCCTATTAGTCCCAATGTCAATTTGACATTTCGTATCGACCCTATGCATCTATTTAGTGACCATCATACTGATACTCAAAATGTAAGCAAAATGTATTCCTTCAATTCATTTTCGATATTACGATTTTCTGTTCACATTTCGGACGTATGAAGACTAATTTCAATGATATTTATATTTACATTAGTGTCGATAGGGGAAAACTATTCTTTTACTGAATTTCAGTATTTTTGTGGCCATTATTCATGTATACAGTGTGATTCAATTTGTATATAGTGCTTCCGTTGAATTAAGTGCCACTGTCGTAAAGTGAAAAACTAAAAAGCTGGATTCAAAAATATATTACACAATAGAAATAATTATGTGAAAGAACGTTCGAAGCCGTCAAATTTCATTTTCATTCGGGCATTATTTCGAATTCAATCAATATATATACATGAAGAATGATTCGTGTCTGAAAAACTATATCATCGCGGTATTTTTAAATGGCAACCCTATTTTACATTTTACGAGAGCATTGAATATAGGGGTTCCTGAGATATTTTCGAAAAACCTCCGGAATTTCTTGTCACCCCCTGTAAAACTATTCCTCCATATCAACATCAAATTCTGTCATAGATAAAATTTTATCGTACGGGAATGCATCGGTTAGAAGGATGTCGTAACTAATTAGTCATCAGAATAATGAATCAAGCCAGCCATTCATCAGTCGCATATTATATTTCGTTGTGTACGGTCGATTCAATATTGGTAGTGGATGAACTTCTGATAGCAATTCAAAAAATTAAGTATCCATTCCATATTAGTCCCAATGTCAATTTGACATTTCGTATCGACGACCCTATGTATCTATTTAGTGACCATCATATACTGATACTCAAAATGTAAGCAAAATGTATTCCTTCAATTCATTTTCAATATAACGATTTTCAGTTCACATTTCGGGCATATGAAGACTAATTTCAATGATATTTATATTGACACTATATTTCTTTCTTTCAAACATTTTTTCAAACAAATTGTCACTGACAAGCTACTGGATTTTTTCTTTTAGACTCCCTGATAAAAAAATAATATATTTATGTTAAGCGCAGTGACATTTTGGGGCAAATCATCTGATCTGTCCCGCTACAAATATATTGAAATAATACGAATACTTTTTTTTATAGAAACGAGGAGAGAAAATCCCAAAGAATCAAGTAAAATAAATGTACAGTATTTTTGTGGCCATTATTCATGTATACAGTGTGATTCAATTTGATATATCCTACCTACTTATGTATTTCGAAGATGCATTATACGAGCTGTTCCATTGAAAAAAATTCAAGATGGCGCCCAGCCACCATTTAAAAATTTTAAGTAGCTGTTTTTTCGAGAAAGAGTAGGGTTTCTTCTACTACTTGAGCCCTACAAATTTCGTTGCGATATAGTAGTTTGAAAATTAATTGGGGGGGGGGGAACGGACTTTAGACGGATCTTTCTGCTGATTCGCATTATGTTTTCAAGTTATATACCACTTGAGAATCTCTTGAAGAATCACTATTCTGACATTTAAGGGATTGATATACACTGCCCTACTTCTATTATTATCATTATCATTATTATTAGGGAAGCTAATATACTGGGTGAGTCATTGAAATGGGAAAGTGAGGTAACACCTTTGATGTTTGAGATAGATGAACAAAAATTCTTGTGATGATCTAGGCTCATGAGCAGCACATTTCCAAAATATTTCGCTTTATACAGGGTGACTCAAAAATGCGTGACGTATCGAAGTTATACTTTTTCTTATGGGACACCCTGTATTTCCTTGCATTTTCGGATTCTTCTTTGTGGGCTGATTTCATCAATGCATCACACTTGGGTGTACCGAGAATGATTACAGAGATATAGGGTGTGCAAAATCGAGATATTTCAACTTTTGGATTTTTTTGGGTCGAAACTATTCCTTATTGGTCAAAACGGCATGCATGTTCCTATCATAACTTTTGATTTACTATCCACTGATATTTAATTTGAATGAATACAGGGTAGTTCAAAATTTAGAATTATGAGATAGAGAGAATGAGATAAATTACTACGTCACGCTTGAAAACGGTTCAAAACTAATCTTGAACACGGTTCGGCAAGAAAAAACAACTTTAGTTTCTCATAGTTTTCTAATGACCTTGGCCATACCTTGGCGACCGCGAATTGAGATGATTTTTTTTAAGTGAATGATCTAAGGAAACTACTTGACAGTGTCAAAATATTTTGGTCAACATGTCAATGTCATCAACTTTGTCAACAAGGCCTTCTTGCCCATTTTGAAAATTGGAAAAAATCTATACAAATAGATTAGGATTTGATTATTCGATTTTAAATTTGTTTCCATAAAAGTTTATGATACAGAAAAAGTGTAGAATCGAGATAATTCAACAGGAACATGGCTAATACGGGCGTATTGCCTTTCGTCAGAGGGGTTGATTTCACCAGAAATGATTTCAATGTAAGTTCACATGCTTCTGAAGCTAGTGGTATAAAAATTACTATGTACTCATTCCAGGGGGACAAATTTCCTACTGCAGTAAGCTCTATGATAGGAGTCCAGTGGTTGAAGTTAGATCGTACAAATTTGGATGAAATTCCCAAAGAGTTGGGGAATCTTATGAAATTGGAACATCTCTCCCTAACAAGAAATAATCTTGAAAAACTCTATGGAGAGTTAACAGAACTGAATTGCTTGCGTACTTTGAATCTAAGACGTAATAATGTCAAGAGTTCAGGAATTCCAGCAGAACTCTTTCAACTTGAAGAACTGAGTACCTTAGATTTGAGTAGAAATAACTTGAAGGAAATTCCTGAAGGTTTGGACAAAGCTAAGTCATTGCTAGTGTTGAACTTGAGTCACAACTAGTAAGTTTCCTATGATCTCCATAGACTGGTCCAGAGTATACTTATATTTTTGTTCATTTCTAGCATTGAGTCAATTCCAAATAGTCTCTTCATCAACTTGACAGATCTGTTGTTCTTGGATTTGAGCAATAACAATTTAGAGACTCTTCCTCCTCAAACTAGAAGACTTGCCAATTTACAGACTTTGATTTTAAACAACAATCCTTTAGGACACTTCCAACTACGCCAATTGCCATCATTAATTAATGTTGAAACATTGCATATGAGAAACACTCAGAGGAACCTTAATAATTTTCCCACTAACTTGGAGAATCTGATTAATCTTGTTGATGTTGACTTGGCAAAAAATGGTTTGCCCAAAATTCCAGATTCATTGTATTCCCTACCAAATTTGAAAAGACTAAATCTGAGTGAAAATGAAATCACTGAATTATCCTCAGGCAAGTAATGATATTTTCCAAGAGTACCTTAACTGATTATATTCTTATAGCTCTAGAGCTGTGGCAAAAACTGGAAACATTGAATTTATCAAATAACAATATAACCATTCTCCCTAGTGGAATATGCAAGTTATCTTCATTGAGGAGATTGTATGTGAATGACAATCAATTGGACTTTGAGGGCATTCCTTCTGGCATAGGAAAGCTGGGTAACCTAGAAATTTTCTCAGCAGCAAATAATCGTCTAGAGATGATACCTGAAGGCCTGTGCAGGTAGGAAACAAGAGTTCATTGTGCTCCTGTGTGGCTGAATTTATTATATTTGTTTTGTTGCAGATGTGGTTCATTGAAAAAGTTGAATCTGAGTTCAAATCAGTTGATAACATTGCCAGATGCCATACATCTTCTAACTGATTTAGTTAATTTAGATTTGAGGCACAATCCTGACTTGGTCATACCCCCCAAGCCAGTTGAAACAATTAGAGGGGCAGGAATTGAGTTTTATAATATTGATTTTTCACTGCAAAATCAACTGAGGCTGGCTGGTGCTAATGTACCAGCTCCTACACCCACACAAAGTGAGTACAATTTATATTTTCATATAACTAGGATAATATATTTCTCTAAGTAAGTATATTTACTTTTACTTTCAATAAAAAATTACTATATTTGTATTTATGACCCCTAATAAACTAACCCTTTCTGAGAATCATCCTAGTCTTTAATTCATACATGTACCTATTTATAAACTTCTAATGTATTTGGAAATTTGGATCAGCATTATCTTATGAATAGGATAATGTTCATTTGACATTGACAACACTGTTTTGATTGCTTTGACCATAGATCTGAATTTTGATCTATGTTTTGACTAGCTTTGCTACAAGGAAAAATGAATTCTACCCAAGGCAAATGTGAACCAAGAATTTGCCTAACATTGGATTATTTTTGGGGATTTTAAATCATCAGAAGTATAGGCAAAAATGCTAATTTCTAGAAGAAATACCATGATGAAGAAAATACATAGCATTTTTTTGAATGCTTCATTCCTTCTAGATTGCCCATAATGAATTTCAAAAGAAATGACAGGAAATTGTCAGTCTATTGATAGTCTTGAAAAATTGAGTATTCACCATTCAATGAGATGAACAGCTTTGCTGTTCCAACATATTCTATAGTTTTACAATGTCATCATGGATGAACTGCGCAAGACAGTTTCAAACTCACTTCTTCTTGTTTTCTCATGAACTGGATTGTAACATAAGTAATTATATGAACTTGTAACATTAGCAAGAGAGCTATAGTTATTATAATGTAAGCATGGGCGTCATTCGCCCCCCCCCTGATTTTCTACAAAATACAGGGTGATTCAGGTTTTAAGGCACAAACTGAAATGGAAGATAGATCTCATCATTTTAATCAAAAAAGTTTATATAAACATTAGTCTCATTTTCATTTCATTTTCACAATCTACAGGATGATACGTTTTTGGGGGGAGAGGCTTCCTTATTCCCCCCAAACTATTCCGTAGTACGCCTCTGGCATCTTTCAGTGATCAAGTTGTGTGGATCATTCAATTCAGAAGCTTTTTTTGGTCTTCAATTTTTTTCGAGAAACGAACCGTTTTTGAGATAAATAAGCATATACGTTCGAAAACATGTTAATTTTGCCTATGTTTCGCTTAAATTTTATTCATCTGAAAAAAAACCTTGACTTTCTACCCTCTGTATCCCCGTTACTGATCCAGATTGGACTCGTGATTGCAATTTTAGTGAGTACATTCCATTGCACTCTCAACGAAAATAGAATGTTAGCGAAACATAGGCAAAATTAACATGTTTTAGAACGTATATGCTTATTTATCTCAAAAACGGTTCATTTCTCTAAAAAAATGAAAGAACAAAAAAGCCTCTAAATTAAACGATCCACACAATTTGATCACTGAAAGATGCCAGAGGCGTACTACGAAAAAGTTTGGGGGGGATAAAGAAGTCTCTACCCCCAAAAATGGATCACCCTGTAACTTTTAAAAATCTTTAAATGGCTTGAAATGATAATCTTCTAGAAAGTATTGACCACACCAAATTTCAAAGCGATATCTTTAAAGGTAAGCGAGATATTTCAATTAATAGAAAAAAATAATTCAACTTTGACACTCTGTAGCTCCGCTACTAAACGAGATCGGGCTAATGTTTATATAAACTTTTTTGATTGAAATGATGAGATCTATCTCCAATTTCAGTTTGTGCCTTAAAACCTGAATCACCCTGTATATTGGCTGACACACATAACAAAACAGATCAGTATAGGTACTTAGGATTGAAAAATACCTATTATTTAAAAATGTTTTCTTATATCATGCAGCATGATATTAGGTATCAAACATGAAAAATGTCCTGAAATATGTGAAAACTGGCGCCTCCAGTAATTTTCCATCATGGACAATTGATTGATGAGTAACTAATTAGCTATTTTGAGTGATGGAAATGAAAATATTGATATGAATCAAGGAAACTCTGATTAATTTTGTGAAATTGAGAAATGTGACAGTTTTCCTGGCTTGATGAAAATCATTAACACTACAACACTACTCAATTATTTATAAGATACCTACTTCAATCTCATTGAGATATGTGTCAATTAATTCATATTTATTCAAATTTCCCTTATTCTCATTTTTTTGTCATTGAAATACATCTTCCTTCTTTGAGAATTTCTCCTAGGCTCTAAAAAATAAAAAAGTGTTATTTCAATATATTTGTAGTAAAGACAAACCAGAAATCATAAATGTCTCCGTGTTGGAAAAATGTTACATGCATACATCTGGAATGAATAATCAGTGACATGTTGTTTTGTCCACTACAAATATAGTGAAAAAAGTCATGGAAACCATCCATCCTTCTCAAAGTGGTCCAAAATTTTTTCAAAGAAGAAACAGTATAACACAAAGTCGGTCGACCACAAAAATGATATCAACAAAACAAGTTTGTGACTAGTTTCGGCTCAACGGCCATCTTCAAACACATAAAATACCTGTTAACATTCGGAACTAATACTCAGATTTTCATTCAATGAAACAAGGAGAGAAAACGTAAAAAATCTCAAGAAAATGAACATCTAGAGTATTTAAAACACTGCACTCGCTCTTCTTATTGTTTTTATCATCAGATAATTATTTCTATAGTATGTAATAATCATGACAATCATGTGATGAAGTTTTCGTCACTCTGTAAAAATTCTCATTATGGCATACTCTCAGTTTATTCCACCCTATATTCAATCCTAATGATGATCAAGATTGTATTGTATAGTCACATGAAAAGGCAATGATTTTGATACATTGTTTCAATCAATAAATCATCTTTTTCTGAAAACTTTCTTTAGAGAATTTATTATATTAAATAATTGAAATTGTGGTACAACCCCCACACTCATTCTCAATTTAAAGGTATTCGCCTCCCCCTGGTATACCCGAAAATGTCGCTCCTGGTTATAAGGCCGATTTGTAGCAAATAACGGATGAGGTTGAATATTGTAAGAATAATTGTGACTTGCAAAATATCATATCAGCAGACTTGAAAAAACGCGAAAGCTTGGTGTGATGCAAAAAAGACAAATATAATATCATTCAGATGCTCGCTTGATGGAATTTCATTCAATAATAATGCAAGAGAATACAAAGACCATACCAAACTCCTCGGAGTTATTAAAGATAAAAGTTTGAAATTTCACGAACACATCAAGCAACTTAAAAGTACTATTTCTTCTGGCTGTTTTGTAGTAAGAGTATAATCTCAAGAGAATTAACGTTTGACACTGCCAAAATAGCATATTATGCGTTTATAGACTTTCTACTACGATATGGGTTACCTTTTTGGGGAGTCTGAATCTTAACATTACCAAACGAATTGCCTGTTTTGATAGTAGAGTGCCAAACGAATCGTAAGTCGCTTAGATCAAAAGTTGGTGGGAAATCAGAATTGAAAAATCATTTTCAGCCACCCTGTATCATTTGAGGGCCTGAAACATTTTCAGAAATATCACTCATCTTTTCAATAAATGATATTGAGATTATTTTTTCTTAAATTTTATAATAATTGTGAGAACAGTGATATTTTCGGTAGGCATCTGCAGATGACATTATTTCGACAAAAAAATTCATAACTTTGATATGATCGAGATATAGTCAACGATATCATAGGAGTGGATGAAGGTCACAGGGATGCTTAAAAAAATATGCAAATATACAGGGCATTCCATTTTAAAAAAATGATCCCGACCCTCTAGATTATTTTTGGTGCGCCCTGTATATGCGGCAATAATTTCTAGTTATGGACCTTGTTGTCTCATTCACATTCGTTTTTGAATCAGGTTTCTAGCTATCATAGATGTCGAGCAATCGAGCTCCGACGCACTAATGCCCCACCCTGTATAATGTATAATGATAGAAGTGTTCAGAAATTGCGGATAAGTACCAGTATTAAACGATTGGTTGATTAAATGTACTAACGTCAACAGTGCGGACTCTGGGAGATTTTGAAATATTCGAATAGATATATCATCAATTCCTGAGGCATTTTTGTTTTTTATATCGTTGATTACATTCCTGGGTCAAGGGGTCAAAGTTTTGATATTTACTATTCAATTGGTATCGCGAATTTTCTGGCAGATATCCGCACAGGAAAGTGCAATTTTTATCATTTTGCTCAGGATAATGATTGGCACAAGAGCCGTTCATTAAAATTCAATGCTTTTATTGTTTTTACATACTTGTGAGACATCGTTATTTCGTTATTAGATGACGATCAGAATTTGCAGCATCTGGACCAAACTATGTAAAGTAAAATTTCACATATTACACCAGATATTATCAAGAGTCGACGACTCAAGTTCATTCCTATCTTCAGATACTTTTGAATGAATTTCTTCTGATTTCTTAACATGTCTATAAAACGGGCTTGTTGGTTGGGGCTGATGATCAGTATTAGTGATCTGTTATTACAGATCCAAGTAAGGATCCAATTGCGAGAAAACTCAGACTGAGGAAAGGTCGAAGAGATCATGAGGAAGCAGACCAGGATCAAGCGAAAATTCTGAAGGTTCGATTGGATTCAATTTAACTTATTTTCTAAACCTAATTCTTTTCCTTCGATTCTAGGGTATGAAAGATATAGCCAAAGAAAAAGACAATAGTGTCCAGGAAGATGCTAAAACAGAATCACTAAAGTAAGACTCTGTGATAGTATTTTCAACTTTTGCAAATAGTTATTTTTGTAGGCCTAAGCGATGGGATGAAACCCTGGAAAAACCTCCTTTAGATTATTCCGAATTTTTCGATGATAATGCAGGACAAGTGCCTAGTCTCACGATCTGGGAAATTGAGAACTTCTTGCCTAATCGTATCGATGAAGTCGCATACGGAAAGTTTTACGAAGGAGATTGTTACATAGTCCTCAAGACGAGTGTGGACGAAAATCAAGCATTATCTTGGAAAATATATTTTTGGATTGGAGAAAAAGCACCAGTATGGCATTAAATTTAGATTTGATTCAATAGTTTTAGTGAATAACTTAGTTTTAAATGGGTGCCCTGATCTCATTGTCAAAAGTAGAGAAATTCAATTTATATGTGAAACTGTGGAATTGACAATGTTTCATTTCAAAACGGTAATGCATTTTGTGCTATTTGTTTACAGAAACTACTGTCAAATTGAGTGTCACCAGGTTTTGATCAAAAGAAGTGCCAAACATTGGACTACATAACATTTTTCTTCCTGCAAGAGGGCGCTAAAAATTGAGAGGAAACTCTGGTCAACATTGATAACGTCGTGGTCCAAAATATAGCCTGAATTCAAAATATAATAACTCACGAATTTCCTTACCAATTTGAAATCGGTTTCCACCGATCATTAGGGTCCCTTGATGGAAATTGACGTTAAAGTCATCTTAACAGGGTACGGACAGATCATAGCTGCATTCTTTATTAATGATCTAGAGACTTTGGTTTTGTCTACTGGCATTCCTGACATTGCTGTCACGTCACATCCATGGGCGCTAGAGAAAATCATTCAAAATTTTAATAATAGGTATATACAGGGTATTAACTTGTTGAGGAAGATCATATGGCGATCGAGTTTCGTAATTATGATCCGATTCTATTCAAAATTGGAAGGTATCTGGAGTTTTCCGGGGTTGGAGATAATGATTGTTTCGTCAAACTTCGAAAATTCAAGATGACGGATCCAATATATAGCGAAAGAAATTTCTAATTATGATCTGATTCCATATAAGATTGGTATCTGAGGGTTTTCGGGGTCGAACTTCATGATTTTTTGTCAAAATTGGGAAATTCAAGATAGCGGATCCAATATGGCTTACGAGTTTTGTAATGAAGATCCGATTCTATCAAAATTGGTATCTGGGGGTTTTCGGGGTAGGAGATAATGATTGTTTCGTCAAAATTTGAAAATTCAAGATGACAGATCCAATATGGCGAAAGACATTAGTTTATATAACTATTACTCTACCACAAATAGAAAATATGTAGGATACAGGAGTGAAAATAACGTGCTTATAAGTTATACTGCGTAAACCTACTTCTTTGTTACTTTCATCAATAAATTATTCGAAGATGACTTTTTATTTAAGGGAGACGGAAAAATCATAAGTATATTCTATTCTTTATTTTCCTGCACTTTTTACGTATTACTTTTTATCAGCCTACTTTTCGTCCCAGACGATGTTTTATACATAGTGTGATATTAGTCACTCCATAAATTCTTCTCCGAATTGGATTTCCGAAAATATATTTAGCACACATGACATGAGTACAGTAGTTCAGATACCCCCATATCGAGGTTTCCACCATTTCTCAATCATAACGCTCAGCTCATTCAGCTGTTTAATCTATGGCTCATAGATAAACTTCTGCTCAGTTTGAAATCAGGATTCTTTTAGTCAATTCAGTCAACCCTGGTATACAGTCTGAGAACAGTCTCTTTTGGTGAAATATATTAAGCTTTCAGTACAATTTATATTATGTTCCCTACCTCGCAAAAATTATGCTGGAGTAGTAAACTCTAAAACTAGAGGATTATTGTTCATCTATATCTTGGTATAGTTGAATCAGGAATTCCATATGGAAATTACGTATGATACGCCAGTGACCTCAATATAACCTAAAAAACAACGAATGTCAAAAATCTAGTGTTTATCCCCAGAATTGAATAGGGATGGAACTATCTAACTGTTTCACAAACACTTTAGAGTGAGAGGAGACGAGAATCTGTCCATACCCTGTTAAGATGACTAAAGTCAATTTCCATCAAGGGACCCTACCGATCATTAGCCTAATCTTTTGACAGTTTGTTGTGGCAATATAAAACTTCTGTGATTTCAGATAACATTGCTACAGGGTGATAATTGAATGGGTGTGAAATTGCATCGTGATCTACACCTTACTGTTTGAACAAATAATTTTTTTTATTCATTTTTTCTCACCTGTATACTCTTGATTGATGCTTTCTCTCGAAACTTTTTCGGAATTTTCGAATTCAGAGCTTTGATAATCGTGTTATGAATATTCATTCAAAATGATGCATTTTTTCGACGATTAATTGAATGAAATTGGAAGTTGGAATTCTTTTTCGAAGAATCAACCTTGTATGTATAGTCGTCGGACTAGTGCCAGTGGTATTTTAGGTTTCACCCCCTGACCCCTAGCTACCCCCACTCAATAATTTTATATGGCACCCCCTATTTTGTAACTCATCATTTTGAAGATCTTAAAAATCCTCACTCAACCCCGTTTAGAACACTGAAATTGGTGGATCCGTTCTCGTAAAACAGGGCAGGAAGAAAATTATTTATAATACAAAATAAAATAATAGCTATTGCAATTAAATAAATGTACCTTACTTTATTAGGTGTTCAAAATGTTCACCATTGATAGCTAAGCAAAAGTACAATCTATTCTCTAATTCCTGTCGGACTTTTGTAAATGTTTCGTTATCAATTTGTTTGCATGTGTCAGTAATCCTGTGTCTTAGATCCTGAATGTCCTGCGGGGGAGTTTTGTATACCATTGTCTTCAAATAACCCCAGAGAAAGAAATCCAATGGCGTTAAATCCGGAGATCTCGCCGGCCATTCCAGATCGCCTCTTCTTCCAATCCATTTGTCAGGATACCGTTGATCGAGCCACTGTCGGACATACAATGCGTAGTGTGGCGGTGCGCCGTCCTGTTGAAAATGTAAATTTTGTTCATCCAAGAGCGGGTTGTCTTCTTCATCAACTTGGCTTTCTAAGGACTGTGCTATGAGTGGATCGATTACATTTTCTAATAAGTTTAAATACAATTGACCAGTTCAATTTTCTTCAATAAAAATAGGGCCAATTATTTCGTTTCCCAGAATTCCAGCCCAGACGTTTATTTTTTGTGGATATTGCGTATGATCCTCTCGAAACAAGTGTGGATTTTCATTATCCCAGTGTCTACAGTTATGCTTAGTTACAAAGCCATTAAGAAAAAAAGTCGATTCATCACTGAAGCAAATATGTCATATTAAATTCGGGTCATTTTGAATTCTCGGAGTCATTATTTCACAAAATTCAATTATCCTATCATAGTCATACTCACTGAGTTGCTGAAGAATACTTATTTTGTAAGGAAAGAACTTGTTTAGTTCTGAAACTTTCTGTATAGAACCAACTGAAATATTTACTAACTTAGCGACTTTCGAAATTGAAGTATTGGCCTAAAATATCAATCTAAGAACTCTCGGCTGCTTTACTGCTTTGTTGCACACATGCACACAGAACCGGTCTCTTCAAATTTTTGAACAAGGTCTAGAACATATCGGTGACTCACATTTTGGCCTACATGACTTTCATTAAAAACCCGGGCTGTCCTACGAGCACACCTATTTTCAGCACCATAAGTGAAAATAATTTCAGTTCCTTCTTGTAAAGTGTACACCATAACGATTTGTATTACTGTCAGTGCAACTGACACCACTTGACAAACAGTTTAAAATCAAGAATAACTAATTCTGATAAATGTTTTCGCCATTTAATTTCAACTGACGCCAAGAAGCAACTGTGTGTCCTTATCTCACTTTCAGCTGAAGCAAAAAACTCTTAGTAAAAAAGAAATCTAAACATACCGTTAGTGGTAGCGGTTCCATAAATTTTTGCATTTTGTTATAATTTATTTTCTTTTTGCCCTATTTTACGAGAACTGATCCAATTTTAGTTTTCTAAACGGGATTGAATGCGGTTAAATGATATATTACAAGATTGGGTTAAACCTAAAATACCACTGGCACTGGCCACATCGATATTTAAATTGACGTGTTTTTTGCCTACGGTAAGTAATATGGGTGGGAAGTTTTGAAATGAAGGCACTGTATAGGTTTCCATATTAAAAATATGTTTGATGAATAGCAATCCATTTCAAAATTTTTTCTTTCGTAAATCAGCAGTATCAATTCTCAATTTTTCTGATATATCTCGAATATTAGAGCATTTGTTCCCAATAGTGATGGTGCCAATGATATTCAATTAACTTTTTTTTAGTTAGACAAGAGAGCTTGCTCAGCTATTCATGCGGTAAATTTGAGAAATTATCTGGGGGCGCAATGTCGTACAATTAGAGAAGAACAAGAAGACGAATCGGAAGAATTCTTGAGTCTTTTCGACTCACAGATTCAATATATTGAAGGAGGAAGAACCTGTAGCGGATTCTATACTGTCGAAGACTTGGTAAGTTTTTGTATCTTCTTATTTTGTCTTGTTTATGAAACTGAATATTTTGATTTTTTATTTGAATATGCCAACTATAGGCTGAAAAATAATTGACACTGGTGTACTAGATAGCTAATATTCTTTCCTAATGGCTAAACTTTTTAGTTCTTCACACACATCATTTTTTTCGAATCTTGAACTTCCATAATAGACAAGCACATTAATTTCTTGAAAAAACACTAAGACGTTCATCAGGATGGAAAATGACAGAGATTTTTTTTGAATTGTTTATTCCTTGAACTTGACATGTATCAATAAAAATTTTGTTGCCTGGCAATTTGACGAAAAAAACTGTCTCTGAAAAAATTAGTCCGTAAATTGTTTATTCCTTGAACTTGACATGTATCAATAAAAAATTTGTTGCCTGGCAATTTGACGAAAAAAACTGTCTCTGAAAAAATTAGTCCGTAGGACGAGTAATTTTTTGTGGCAGTTTTTTTCAGTTGAAATACTTAATGGCAACAAAATTCGAATTATAAAGGCCAAGTTTACTTTGACTAAAACAACAGATTTTCTGACTCAAATATAATTGAATTTTTGGTCAACGTTGAAGTAGGTTCTGGCAGAGGTATATTAGCTTTTGGCCGAGTGTAATATATCTTTTGGGAAGGAAAATTGCCGTCACTTTTTGAATGATACATACTGTTTCTAAAATAAAGATGCAATAAAGGGTTAATATTTTATTCTTAATGAACAGTGTTCCACAGTGATCCAAACGCTTAGCTCTTGATATATATTTTACCGCCCTCTTCTGTAGAACAAATACAGATTGTATCAACTGCTTGCTACAGAAACCTCAAATGCGACTCAAATAATGAAAAATCGACTTCAATTATATTTTCAAAGAAATTATGTCGTTTCCGTGTCAGAGTAGGGTTGTATCGTCTGCAAACATTGTAAACTTTCCTTATATATCGACATCTGATAGATCATTCACATAGAGACGGAACAAAATGGGGCCAAGCACTGATCCTTGTGGAACTCCGCAGGTAATTTTCGAGAAACTGGAACTTTCATTCGGTAACTTCACCATTTGACTTCTGTCCGAGAGATAAGATTGAAACCACTGTTGTTCCATTGAAACCATAAGTGAACAATTTTGGCAGCAGCTCACTTTGATTCATCTATTGATAGTTGAGAAAAAACGGGAGTAAAACCTATGACATTTACTATATCAATGAATATTGAATCATCTCGACAGTGCACAGTTGGATCTATCGAAAATTGAGAAATATTTACTTGATATTTCCCTGAAATAAAACATCTCTCAGCACAGGAAAAGGGGAGGAAGTTACCAATATTGAGGTTTCCATCGCACTGTGAAGTTTGTAGACATTTGATATATACGTATTTTTTTTTACTTCAGAAAAAAATGAATGAAAAATGACCTTGGCTCTTTCACCATTCTTATGACGTACTATCTTGAAAAGCGATATTCACACAAAGTTAAAATACGATTCCCTGTGTCAGTACGACTTTGCCGGCATCATCAATATGTCTAAATGTCGAGAGTGTTATGAATGATTTTCATAAATCTCTCATTTGCTGGATGAAGTTGATTAATAGTTATTTAACCAACTAGTGTATTAATGAGGGCGATTCGCGAATTCATCATTCATCCGGAAACTGCTAAAAATCACCCAGTAGCGTTGTTACTGACATTAGTGACATTTGACATTTGTCAAAATGATCAACATAGGAAATACATTCCTTGTGTTAGAAAACAGGGATTAAAATCGTGTCAGTAACTTGGAAAGGCGAACCCGTTAACGGAAAATCGTCGATGAAATCCATATTTTCGATTTAAATGCAGATTCCGTAAGTTATAGCATAAACAATGAATGCACGCGGTGTATGTTTGGTTGCCTATAAAACAATCGTGCATTAATAGACAAATCGTTCATTAATAGGGGTCATTAAGGAACGATTTCAAATACATTAAACTCAGTCGTTAATACGAGGTCGACGGAAAAAATAATTAATGATATTTTGCAATAGTCACTAGGATTTTTCACTTTCGATGTATTACAAAATGATAATCTCAACTTGTCAGTCATTTATTTTATATCTTGCAACAGCAGCGCATAATACTATGTGCCCGTCCACACCACACAAAATACTGACAGGCACACCGAGAACTGATCTGATTTTGTGATTATGGATTGTGTCTATTTTTGATCTCCAGTTATTCTTTAGCCTATGTCTACAGTTCATAGTTGTTTCGTTAGTCTTCTTCTTCTTCCTTGTTCCTTTAACGTGGGCCTTTTTCTGTTCCTGAGACTAATCACCGACGCCGGTGAGCACACTACCCCCAACCGGAATTTTTGCCGAATCCTCTGGTGTTCCAACCAGAGGTAGGGATCTTTAACGAGTCCAACATCCATGGCCTCGGGACCGCCGGCTTAACGTCCCCTCCGAAGGACGGCATATCCGTACCATATCTTGTGCTCATTGATATGGTAGCTGTAGCTATGATATGCTATTCCGCTACAGATGTGTGGGCTTACGCGGCGTTTACTCGTACGGTCACACATCCAAGTACTAACCGCGCTCGACACTGCTTAACTGCTAGTATTAAAGTCATTCATTATTTGTTCAGATTTAGCTACAGCACATATATATCATTCACACTTCCATTATGGAATGTTGGCAAATCTGCATGTGTGCCTGTGTATCCCACCGCTTGACGCAGAGGTGGCTGGTGTTGGCCAGGGAATGTGAGTGGATATGCGAGGTGTTCGTCACAGATACCTATCTCCTAGGGCTAGGCCCTTTATATAGGTAATCTTGCTGAGGGTACCCAAGAGGGTGGGGGAGCTGTTCAGTCGTGATCAATGCGGGGAGATTTTCATGCTCATGGAGGAAAAGAAAAAAAATTGGTAAAACCATAAAAAACCTCCTTCTTGTTTTGCTCGGGCAGTTGTACTGCATATTTCTTGTCATATATCAGCCCGTGTTTTTTGCGTATGTTGTGGTGTTGGCGATGTGGTATTTGTTGAATTTATTTGATATTTTTAGAATGAATTCGTTGATTCTAGGCAAATTACCACATCTCTCGTGGAGATCTGCCACTCGAGAGTATCTATCACCGTTGGTGATAATACGAAGTACTTTGTTCTGCAGCACATGTAGCCTATTCATAAGAGTAGATGTAGGTAGTAGAGTAGTAGGTAGAGGATGTCGCAGAACACAGGACACGCGTACGTCATCACAGGCCTGATGACCTGCTTGTACACCAGGACCTTGTTCTCCTGCGAGAGTGCAGAGGTCCTGGATAACAAGGGGTACATCTTTTTTACTGCCGCTTGTGTTTTTTTGTATCAAATAATTGATATTGAGAGTGTCCAGTTTAACCCCCAGGTATTTGACAGGGCTCCTGTCTGTCGCCTCCACCCCTTTGACGGCTAGTGGCTTACCTGAGATGCTAGGGCGATGCCCGATGTTTCGTTAGTCAACAACGACGCCAATTTTTCTTCTTCTATTTTTTCATTCGGGTTTGTTTGTTAGCTATTCGCTAGCTATATTCTTTATCATCAGCATATTCAGACTAGATTCAGAATGTACGTCACAGTTTGCGGCCCTAGAAATTGGAAATTGCTTTATTTTGAAAATAAAATCCACTTGGACTCAATCGATCGCAATTCTGTACATCGTGGACATGAAACTTGAAAGTTCCGAACTCATTTTATGAAAATTCATCTGAAGGAAACTTTTCCATTGTGAGGTATTCAAATGGTGTTTCTTGAAACATTAGTACTATATTCCTACTATATTTCAGTTATATGCACATTTAAATTGAGTTCACCTATTTTTGTTCCTGCCTATTTCAGAAGAACTCGTGAGGGCTGTCAAATTCATTATCTACTGACTATTCTTTTAAAAAGTTATCTTACATTTTTAGAATTTCGAAACAAGATTATACAGAATCCATCCGGCTGGACCAACCGTCCATCTGGAACCAGTCGCCATTTCTGTCGATTCTTTGGATCCGAATTTCGTGTTCGTATTGGACACTGGGATGCAAATTTTCGTGTGGAACGGCAAGAAAGCGAAAAACACCTTGAAATCCAAGTCTCGTTTGATGTGCGAGAAAATCAACAAGATCGAACGCAAAAATAAGGCCGAAATAATCACCGAGATCACTGGAGACGAGAGCAAAGAGTTTTGGATCGGTTTAGGACAACCAGACGGTTTGCCACCAGAAGAACCACCGAGGGTTTGTAATTTTTATACAATGTCGGAATAAATGAGTGTAGAAAAATATAGCGCCATTCTTTATCATATTTGGTGAAGAAAGTTCATCATTTGCACACACAAAAATCACAGAAAATAATAAAACAAAAAAGGTTAACATAACCTTATGCAATGGTGAATTGGCGGAGTATCAGCAAAAAGCTGTTTTTCAACTCAATCCAAAAATATAACATTATTTACAAATATGAATCAAAAAAGTTTTGGATCAATGTAGATGCGTTATAGAGGTAGAGGAGGTAGGTGTAATAATTTTATTTTGTACTTTTGGAGGTTATTGGTGAATTCATGCACGACGTAACTTAGTTCTAACTTAACTTAACACTGACTTTGAGAAGTTGAAATTCGCATAATCGATGATAACGTTCATGCACGCAACTTAAGTATTTAAGTGTAAATTAAGAAGGTCATAAGTTGGCCAACTTTCAACTTTCACATTTACAAATCGCGTATCTATATGACATTCGATCGAGTCTGGCACCACGGACTCCTCGCCAAGCTTTCATCTTATAGCTTGCCTCCCCAGCTATGTTCTCTGCTAGCTAGTTTTCTCTCAAACATGTCTCTCCACGTTATGGTCGACGGAGTTTCATTTGACTCTCTTATCATAAATGCTGGTGTTCCGCAAGGATCAATTATAGCACCAACACTATTTCTACACCATATCAACGATTTGTTGGAAGCAACTTCATGTCCAGTACAAAGCTTTGCGCAGTACCCTCCATACCGCCTTTTCTTCCAGGGCTCCAATACCAATCAGACAAATCAGAAACGAACGAGGAAGAAATGTTGACAACATAAATATGGACTTGGCAGAAATTTAATGACACCAATTCCTGCCTTATTTTCCTTGGTTCTCAGGATGTTTTCTGAACATTACAGGATATCCCTTTTCATGGAAACCAGAACATAAAAAAAACTGCGCATGGTAAAGCATTGATGCCAACAGAAATTGTAAATAGTTAGGTTTAATAATCCATAACCTCAAACACTCTGCTCAAACTTTCAAGTAATTTTTCGAAATGTTTAAAATATTATTATTTTGTTTATAACATTATGGTTGACGACAGTGAACTCATCAGTTTAGTACAGCAGTACTCCTTCATTTACAACAAAACAGATCCCAAATACATGATTCTGCACATGCGTAAATATTACCGTTAAGTTGTGTATGAACACCTTTTATATTATTTTCAAGGCAATATTAATAAGGTAGGTCTTAAGTTAGGACTTAGTTAAGTCGTGCATGAATTCACCATATAAATTCTTGGTAATACTTCCAGTGACAAATAATTCCATAGCTTCGCCGTATAGGAGAAACTGCGTTTGAAGATTATTATGATGAATTATGTTCAGAAATAGCAAGAGTGGTTTTATTGCAATTAAAAATTTTGTGGATATCTGAAGAAGTCTGATATGATCAGGTTTATCAGTTTTCAGAACTTTAGACACCCAAATACCTCAATTATTGTTCTGGCGTGCATCTCAGCAGATAAAAATATTTGATCGAATTTTCATACTCAGAATTCCAAAACGGCATTCTGTTAGGCATCAGACTGTCAATCTTTCATCGTTTTCTAGATCTACATGATGGGGCTCGAATTCAAACCACTCTGTACTTTTCTTATAAAATTCATTGTGAACATTGTGTTGTTTTATTTTTAGGAACATGTTAGTCTCGATTTTACCCCAGTACCTCCGAGACTGTATCAAGTTCAGTTAGGCATGGGATATTTGGAATTACCTCAAGTGGAAGTACCACTAGGAAAGCTAGTTAATACTCTTTTGATTAGCAAAAACGTGTATATCTTGGATTGTTACTTGGACGTTTTCGTATGGTAGGTGAAGTCTTTATTATAAACTTAGTCAGTCCATATTTTGAGACTGTTTCTCCAGGAAATTCGCCGATAAATAACATTATGAAGAACTCGAAAAATAGTGGTTGTCATTTAAAATTTTAGGGGTTGGTGCACTGAAAGTTAGGGGGTTGACATTACTACGACAACAATCGCCTAAACAGCTCACATCCTTGATATGCGTATTACATACAGTGTGTTACTTTCGTATTCCTAGGGCGATTCGAATTTTTTTCTCACAGTATACTACTCGAAATCATCTACTTTCTCGAGCAAACAAAATTCATCAATTACAATTTCTTAGCCTACTGCCATCACAAAAACTCCAGCAAAATTGAAGAAAACGGTTTAGGCATTTCTTAAAAAAAAGTGTGATGTAGGCAATCGATTCGGACTAGTCACAAATACTCTTATATCAATTTTCAAAACAATATCTTATACGGGGTGTTTTTTATCAACGTTACAATTTTTGAATAATTGCACTTTTCAAGTCACCGTGTATAATAATTCTTAGAATTTGAATGATATCCAGGCATGATGGTAGTTAGGATTTGGCTACAGAGTGAAACAAATAACTGATTAAATCAATGAAAATTAAGATTCTCCTATCAAGAAATAAATAGAAACCAAATGATAGCTATCAAAAAATTACATCAAAATTAGACAAAGAACAAAACAGCAAGTTCTAATTTTTTCATTCTCGATCAAATCTCTATTCTTTGCCCACTTTTCATAGCCCTTTTATTTTCAACTCTCAGTTCTTCTGGTGGTATCTGTCTGCAAGCTGTTTATTTGCGCAATTATCTCTTCCCTATTTCTTGTCGTCAATTTGTAAACCTTGCAGGAGAGTTGAAAAATGTGTAGAGAATGAAGGGATCGAGAATACAAAAATTTTAACTTGTTAGGAATAATTGCTGTTTTGTACTTTGTATAATTTTTAATAGGTCATAATCATTTGGTTTCCATTCATTTTTTGATGAAAAAAATCTTAATTTTCAGTGATTTTTATCTCACTCTGTAGCCAGATGTTTTAATGCTGACTATCATCATGCGCCATTATCGCGAAAATATTCAATCTAGCTCAAAACTGTGCTTGTTGTTGTTCACTTGATCAGCAGTTTAGTATCAATGTGATATTACTCATCATAATTTGATGTTGCAGGATCGGCAAAAAATCCACTAGACTCGTTAATGCGGCTGCTGTAAAATTATCGGAAGAATTATTCAACATGATTGACAGGCCAGAGTACGCGAGAGTGACTCGCGTCAGAGAAGGAACCGAATCGCAGGTAGAATCACTGACGTAACTACTATATACTATCTAGATCGCTGTATGTCATATCCCAGAAACCCGAATATCTTAGGTAATTTGCGCGGGAACTCCCAAACTGTCGTTTATGACATCCAGTCATCTTGAAATTTTCGTCTGTCAATGTTACTTCAAAATATAGTATTCGCGAAAATCACGAAGTGTGCGGCCTCTGGTGGCTAACTGTACAAGCCTTGCGAGTATGAACAACAAATATGGCGACCATTGTTTTCAATTTCATAAATATGTTTTATTCGAAAATAATTTATTTGTTGAAGTGCATGTTCTCCCTGATGAAAAAACTCGAATTATTGCAGTACCTTTTATTGTTTACAATGAAGAAACCAGTACCTACCTTATAATAATATAATATGCATTTTCTGAAGCACAATTAGAATCATTGTATAAATGTTGGTTGCAATGATTCGATCTTGAGAATAACTTCAAGTCCCCAATTGCTGGAGATCCTTGTTTATGTAAATCGATGATATTGTTCATTCTGAGCAGCCTCTCCAACCATATCTTCTTTTCCAACCCCTTCACTAGAATTCCATCTCCTTCATAAAAGCCAGTGATATTTCTTGATGAATTCAATTATTTCTTCATACCTTGCAGTCCATGCAAGTGTTGAGTGGACCATTCCGACCATTCCATATGTTTGAAAACTGTGGAATTGTAGTGTGATATCAATGATGAATACCACCATTGTCCACATCAAAATGGCCATTTCTCTGCACAAAAAGTAATTTTTTCCATACTGGAAACCTTGTAGGTACTTCAGGAAGTCAACTTATTATTCACTATTTTGCAAAATGATTTCGAAATAACCAATTTGCAATGAGTGCATACGGCAATGTTTTTGTTGTTCATACTCAGTTTGAAATTTGACGTTGATTTGACGTTTAATAGAGCCATCTATTGGTTCGTGATTTTCGCGAATTTATACCGGGTGACACAGGGTATCGGGCCACCCCTGTAACTTCTGCATTCGTCAACGGATTTTTCTGAAATTCGGTACAGTTATATAAGCAATTATTTCGGATTTGATCACATTACAATCCAATATGGCGGACTTCCGGTATTTCTGGAAATGCCAGCAACTTTGTTTTTTCAAATGAAACACTCTGTATATTTTTACATATTCAAGTTCAACAGGTCGAAACAAGTGCAATCTTTATTTCAAATGTCATTTTTTCGAAAAAATTTAAATTAAAATTGTTTTTTCATTTTACCTCGTGGATAAATGAGATGTGGTCAAGACTATTCACAATGAGTCACACATAACAGAAGAACATAATTTTTTCTGAAAAATTATTTTTTGTGTCACTTATCCAGGAATCAATTCAGCCACGTCACTTTTTGATCAAAAATTATTTTTTTTCAAATAGAACCCCTACCCGTCTCTCTAGAACATACATTAAAAATCAACAACTAGTTTATGAATTTCCTTGCAGTTAGAATAATTTTTCAACTAGGTAGGCTGTGGAATAAATGACATTTGACATCAAGATTGCACTTGTTTTGACCTGTTGAACTCGAATATGTAAAAATATACAGGGTGTGTTCCATTTGAAAAATCAAAATTGCTGGCATTTCCAGAAAAACCGGAAGTCCGCCATATTGGATTTTAATGTGATCAAATCCGAAATAGTTGCTTATATAACTGTACAGAATTTCAGAAAAATCCGTTAACGAATGCAGAAGTTACAGGGGTGGCCCGATAACCTGTGTCACCCGGTATATCAATGACATCGACAAGTTAAATCAATGGTGTATAATGAACTCATTGCCTCTAAATATAAAAGAAGTGTAATTATGTTACTTACGCTCGCAAAAAGTTACCTATTGATTTTTCCTACACCATTAACGGCCAGCTTCTAAAAAAATGACTGAGTTCAAAGATCTAGGCATAATCTTCGACACGAAATTCACGTTTTCTCACCACGTGAATACTGTTGTCACGAGTGGTTTTAAAACACTGGGTTTCATTATCAGAAACTTCAAATGGTTGTCTGGTATTGAAACCTACTTACTCCTTTTTGATGTGCTTGTGAGGACAAAGAGTTTGAATATGGCTGCGTTGTTTGGAATCCTGTTTACATCACATATAGTGAGGGTTCAGAGAATATTCAGAGGCGATTTCTGAGGTACATCAGTTTCAGATGTGATGGCTTCTATCCGGCGCAAGGTGTACCGCATGATACACTTCTTTCTAGATTTCAAGTCAATTCCGACAAAACTGTCGCGATTGTTAAAAGTGCAAATTTAAAGCGACACTACGAAACAACTCATCAGCAGTTCCACAAAAACTTTCCTCTTGGCAGTGAAGCTCGTAAAGAAAAACTACAAACATATCTAACTTCTTGCAAAAAAAGCACTGCCTTACTAGTTCTCTGCATGAGCGAGCAAGAAAAATGCGCAGAAGCAGCATTGCGTATGTGCTGGACGCTTAATAAACACCAAAAGCCGTTTTCAGACTCTGAGATAGTGAAAGAATGCATGTTGGAAGTGGCCACTGCACTTTTTGAAGAGAAAAAGGATATTGTCGCCGCAATTCAAGGTATTCCATTATCGGCTCCACATATATATGTGAATCTTCCTTTTCAAAAATGAATTTTATGAAGAACAAGTATCGTTCCAGATTAACGGATGCTCACCTTGAAGACACTCTTCGCATTTGCTTTTCCCCACGTGAACCAAACTATAAAAAATTGGCTCAAGACCGCAGGTGTATTTTCTCGCATTGATTTTTGAGAATCGTGTTATACCTAATTACTTACATAGAAAATCGAAATAAAAATTCAAAACTAGTACGACTTTTTTTTCGGACCTCGAAACAAATTTCCATTAAATATCCGGACCCCAGTTGAAATTACTTGCCGACCCCTGCCCTAGACAAACGTCGTACATATTTGGGCATTCCATTTGCATACAAGTTCCTAGTCTCGCGTTTTGACTGCCTATACCTGCTTGCACGTATTAATTTGCACGTTCCTAGGCTACCTGTACGTAGTTTCACCACGTTTTACCTGCCAGTCGCCCAAACAAATATTCTTCTTTTCTCGCCTCTGTATAAAATATGTCGTGATTACTTGTCAATTCAGAATTGAATAGATATTTTTACTAAAAACCAATAGACATCAAAAGGGTTACTCTATCATAATATGTATTTTTTTATTGTTGTTGTTTTAACACTGTTTGTAGCGCTGTGTATGAACTTTTTTCTCACCGTAGTTTTTTCAGTTCATACACATCGTTACGCAGTGTGTTATTTATTTTATTTTTCTATGCATATTTCCTTCTCTGTTTTGTTTTTTGATACAATTTCCATACAGATTTTGAACAAAACTTGTTATTTACCCATTCTGTAATAGGCCTCGGTTGTTGAATTGATGTACTGCTAAAATAAAAATAATTCATTATCCCAAAAATAAAAGGGGAAGGGGCATTGAAGAAAAGCACTGTATACTTGTATAGGGTCATACAAGCACTAAACACATTATCACATCAATCAATCAGTCATATTCAAATTCGTCAGGTGTTCAAATCGAAGTTCCTCGGATGGGACGAAGTGATAGCGGTGGACTTCACACGAACGGCCGAATCCGTCCAGAAGACCGGCGCCGATCTGACCAAGTGGGCTAGGGGGCAGGAGACCAAGGCCGACCTGACCGCCCTTTTCACGCCCAGACAGCCGTCGATGTCGCTAGGCGAGGCGCAGCAGCTCATGGAGGAGTGGAACGACGACTTGGAGGTACGGTTTTTCATATCCTGTAATGTTCAGAGAACATCGTGAGAACCAAGGGAAATGAAGTAGGAATTGGTGTTCTTCTTGAATTTCTGTAGGTTATATGCCTCCCTTGGCAATGTGTTCCAGAGCCTCGCTGTTCGTTGGATGGACGAGTCTTTGAAAAGAGATGTTCTGCAGGTCTCCAAAGTGACCACGAAGGGGTGCGAAACCTCAACTCGACGGGTTAATCTCGCGGGGACTGCTAAGGGAGGAACAATTGTTGATATTCCAGAAGAGCATCGTCCATGAAAATATCTATAAAATAGAGTCAGATCGCCAACTTTTCTACGGTGTTCCAGAGAAGTGAGTGAGTTTGTGAGCGAGGCACCATCCACGAGACGAAGTGCCCTTTTTTAGACAAAATCCAACAGTTTCAGGGTATGTTTGGGTGCTGCACTCCAAATATGGGAACAGTATTCCAGGACAGGTCGGATCTGTGCCTTATAGATCATAAGCAGCTGACTGGAAGTGAAATTGCTTCTGGCCCGAAACAGAAAACTAAGTTTTCGGGATGCACTTTCAGCAATTGATCTCACGTGATTTTCCCAAGAAAGGTTATTGCTGATAGTAATACCAAGTATCGCAATGGATGTCTTCAAAGGTATGGTTACTCCTGACAAGCTTATGTTGGGCACAGTGAGGTCGGCTTTTCTAGAGAAAAGGCATGCTTGTATTTTGTTTGCATTGAAATTTACCAAGTTATTGGATCCCTATTCGAGAATTGTTGCCAAGTCCATATTTCTGTTGTCAACATTTCTCGCTGGTTCGTATCTGATTTGCCTGGCAGGAATTGGACCCCTGAAAGAGAAGGCGGTATGGAGGGTACTATCATCCGCGAAGCTATGCACTGGACATGAAGTTGCTTCCAACAAATCGTTGATATGGAGTAGAAATAGGGTTGGTGCTAGGATGGATCCTTGCGGAACACTAGCATTTATAATAAGAGAGTAAGATGACACTCTGTCGACCACTACATGGAGACCTGTTTGAGAGAAAACTAGCTAGCAGAGAACATAGCTGGGGAGGCAAGCCATAAGATGGAAGCTTGGCGAGGAGTCCGTGGTGCCAGACTCGATCGAATGCCTTGGAGATATCAAGTGCCACGGCTAAGATTTCACCATATTTTTCAATAGATTGCTGCCATATATGTGAGACGTAAGCGAGCAGGTCACCAGTTGATCTCTGATGATGGAAGCCATATTGCCTATCGTTGATAATACCTGAATGTTCTAGGTATTTCGTCAGCTCGATGTTGATAGCTTTCTCTATGATCTTTGAAATAATAGATAGCAGTGCGATCGGTCTGTAGTTGCTAGGTAGGGTCTTTTTTGCCTTTTTTGGGAACTGGTTGTACTCTTGCAATTTTCCAGTTGGACGGGAATATCCCCAATTTGTATGAGTAGTTGAACAACTTGCAGAGAACAGGGGTTAGTTCGGGAGCACATTTCTTGAGAACAATCGGTGGGATTCCGTCGGAGCCACAAGCTTTGTTGGTGTTGAGACCCAATAAAATCTTCCTCATGGTAGTCATGGTACGTTGGCGAAAGGTGATCTCGAGCATATGACTGTCAATTGGCGTTATGTTTGGGGGTTGTTTTTCTGATGAATCCAGAGTGGAATTTCCAGCAAAAAAATGCGTAAAATTTTTGGCTTTCTCCTTGGGCAGTTGTGGCTAGTGATCCATCTTCCTTGGTTAGAGGAGGAAACGAGCTGTGTCCAAGTTACTCGCAAAGTGTGATCTACTGATACACCTTTCTTTCTCTCTTTCTTTCTTCCTTTCTAAACCTTCTTTAAACTCTAAGCGATGAAGGCTCTCGTCCTCGAAGGCAAGAAGTTTGTCCGGCTGCCGGAAGAGGAGCTCGGCACCCTCCACTCTTCGGACTGCTACGTCTTCCTCTGCCGTTACTGCATGCCGCAAGACGAGACCGAGGCTGCCATAGAAGAGGAAGCGAAAGACTTCCAGTGGGTGTCCGACTTACTCGCAAAGTCTGATTTTTGAACAATCTACTGATACACCTTCTTTTCTTTCTTCATTCCTTTCTTATCTTTCTACTCGCAAAGTCTGATTTTTGAACAATCTACTGATTCACTACTGATATACCTTCATTTCTTTCTTACCTTTCTCTAAATTCTTAGGCGATGGAGGCCCTCGTCCTCGAAGGCAAGAAGTTCGTCCGGCTGCCGGAAGAGGAGCTCGGCACCTTCCACTCATCGGACTGCTACGTCTTTCTCTGCCGGTACTGGATGCCGCAAGACGAGGCCGAGGCTGTCACAGAAGAGGACGCCGACGACTTCCAGTGGGTGTGCTACTTCTGGCAGGGCAGGGACGCCTCCAACATGGGCTGGCTGACGTTCACGTTCACGTTGCAGAAGAAGTTCAAGGCGCTGTTCAGGGACAAGTTGGAGGTAGGTGTGCGGGATTTCGGGAAAGTGTGAGACAGGTAAGGTGACCTAGCGGCTTTGTGAAGGTGCGTTCCAATGTAGGCTAACATTATTTATTGTCCACCACATCGCGCCACTGGAACGTGAAGTCAGTGTTGGTAGAACTGATAAATATATTTCTTCTTTTCGTATCATTTGGCCTCTTCCTACGATATCTTCTCCTACGTCAATGTAAGAATTTTTCGTAAAGTTCCACTTTGAGAGTAAAAAAAAACACCTAAGTCTGGTCGAGTATCTCTATATTTCGATAAAAAGGGCCACAACATTTAGGGATATCTGGCAAAATTTTGGGTTTATTGACTTTGACATTGACCTCACATTTTGGTAGCATTAACTGGTGAGACTGAGAATGTTAGCCCACATTGGATAATTCACTCAGTTGAATGATGAAGTGAGGTCAGAGATGGTAGAACTGATAAATATACCTCTTCCTTTCGTGTCATTTGGTCTCTTCCTACAATTTCTTCTCCGTCAATGTAAGAATTGGTCGTAAAGTTCCACATTGAGAGTAAAAAACCTTAGTCCGCTCAAGTATTTCCGAAATTTTCGATAAAAAAGGCCTTTAGGGCTATTCGGTAACATTTCGACTTTGACATTGATCTCACGTTTTAGTAGCTCCAACTGTTGAAATTGAAAATGTTTGCCCTCATTTAAACCCACAACCATTGTCGTTATAAATGAAAACCTATAATTAGTAGGCGAGAAGTGTAATATTGTCTGTTCATTGACCCGAGAGCTCATTACTTTCAATAGAATATTTGTCAAAATGGACAATGGGCGAGTGGACTGATTATGAATAATTGGCATTCAATTACTCCACTGTGCCGTTAGGACACTAAATTGATTTTTGCAACACTTCTCACGCTTTTTTAATGTAAATAATGAGTCTATGCATTGTTCAAAATTGTTGAATTTCAGAGCTCATTTCAAACGTGCCGTCATGGCCGCCATTTGGCGATACGTCGAATAAATGGTAACGTAAATTTTTATGCTGTTTCGTTATTGGTCAGATAATCTTCCATTTCCACCCTGTCGTTGAATAAAACACAAGGAAGTGATGATACAATAGTGCATTCTTTACTTTTTCGAGCAACCAGCATGCCTAAATATCTCTTATACTCCATAACAAAATATCATGATGATGTTGAAGACTTGGCAACAATGTGCTGAATGCTGAGAACTGACAAGGCATCGCCCACAATTTATGATACCGTGTTATCGCGTAATATTATTGTTAACACAAAATTATTATAAACAATAAGCAACAACAGATGAGGAAATATTTTGAGACAATTGATTTTTGTGTCTAATTAGGAAAATAACCAATTCAAAATTGAGAATTTATGAATAATTGAATAATTAATATTTCTGAAGTTCCAATCGTATTTCAACATATGACAACTGTGCTATGGTCTGTCCCTACTTACGAAATCGTGATGTCAGTTTTTACTCGCGGTAAATTTTTAGCCGTTTGAGAATTACCGTGGCATTAAGCGGCGTTCACAACCAAACGTTTTACGTTTTGCTTTTTACGTTTCGTATTCTGATTGGTGAAGCAAAACCTGTAATGGAAATGACGCAAGAAGCTGAAAATATTCAGCTTTTTGCGTTGCAAGAAGCCATCGTCTGTGAAAATAGTGAAAATAGACAAATGACAATGTTATAAAAATGGAAAATACTACTGTTAGTTCTGATACAAATAGAACAATACATGTATGAAACATTCTATAAAAATATATGGAAGTTATGATAATGTTTCTGCTCATGATTTTTTCGTGAATCCACGGAATAGTAGATAGGTATACTGTTCAATTTATCATTTCCTTGTTGGAGATTGATTTTTCTCTTCAAGTATTGAATAAGGATCAAATTACGTCACTGCCAGTTCTATGAATATTATTAATTATCTAATCAATATTATTGTTATGATTATTTACTTCATTTCAAGATGAAACACAAATGACAAAACCAAGACAACTAAGAAAAGCCGTAAAAAGTCACGTTGATTTTATTGTTGTTGTGAATGACATTTGCATTAGTTTAATTCACGTTTATTTTCAGATTCTGCTTCACCATTCAGAATAAGAAACGTAAAAAGCAAATCGTAAAAAGTTTGGTTGTGAACGCCGCTTTATTGTTGATTTTAGCACCTCAAAATCGAACGAAAAATTCTAAAAAAATATTAAAATGAAAGGTATTTGAGTGTTGATTCTATTTAAGAAACAAAAAAAATAGTCCACCCGGCAATTTCAGGTTGAAGTTTTCAATACCCACTTCCAATTCTAGTATCCTCAAAATTCTACCACTTCTACGATGCCAGTATTCTAATGGGTTGCGTGCAAGAACTGTCAGATGACCGACACTGGAGGCAAAATATTGACAAGTGATTGAATTAGTTTTTCACAATTATTTTGGCATACGAATCGTATTTTTCCGCTATTCATCAATTCGCTCATGCCATCACATTATGCTGTTGTGAAATGCACAAAAACTGCAGCGGAAGACGAAGTAATCCGGTTGGTACAATATGATTTAAAAGTAAGTACCTACTATAGTCACTCACATATAGTTTTCATTTTTGAAATTTGGTAATTTCTCTGATTTCCCATCGGAATTCTTTCTGCGATAGAAGCTAATAGAAATACATCTGAAATTTCTAAAATAATGCCAGAAAATTAGATTCATGCAATCAATCGGGAGGACTGGTCTGACATGCTGACGATCGTGTGTGTTGTAAACATTTTCAATCTATTAGCAGTATTAGCTTGTATTGCAGAAGTGACAGAAGGCAGACGGAATTTTAATAAGGAATGACAACATTTCATAATGATAACTATGTGATATTACTATTTACCTGAAGAATCATATTCTTTAGTCTCTTGCTTCATATTTTGTGCATTGTACAACAGCACAATGCGAAGGCATGCTCGAATTAATGAATAGCGCAAAAAACACGATTCGTATGCCAAAATATTGTGAAAAACTATTTCAATCCTTTGATTCCTCTGTAACCAAGTAAAAAAGTGAGGTTGTGTTTCAATAATTCACAGAAGAATGAGGTTGTGTTTCAATATTTTGCCTCCAGGGTCGGTCATCGTGCACGCGACCTATTGATTTATTATTGCCATTGTAATATTTTTTAGGTTGTCAGGACGTACCAACAACAGGAGAATATGAAATTCATGGCACATTTCAAGCGAAAGTTCATCATCAAACAAGGGAAACGTAATCGGAAATTAGAGAAGAATGCAGTGGAGTTTTATCATCTGAGGTCCAATGGAAGTGCCCTCTATACAAGACTTGTTCAGATCAAACCGGATGCATCTCTGTTGAATTCGTGTTTTTGGTATGTCATAACATGAATATTTATGGAAAAATCTTTCACTTCTTTAAGTCACCAAAAATGGTCGTCGTTTGAACAATAATAATTAGACACAAAAATGTAATTTTGCCAACTCGTTTTTAACTTGTATATTAACACGCTTTTATGAGCTTCTTCTGTATGTATGTAACCGACTTCTTGAATCTTCGAGCCTGATTTTGACACACCTCAAAACAAAATGGCGGCTGCAAAATGACGGACGAGTTTTGTAATTATGATTCGATTCTATTTAAGATTGGTATCTGGGGGTTTTTCGAGGTCGGAGATTATGATTCTTTCGTCAAAATTTGAAAATTCAAGATGGCCGACAAGTTTTGTTATTATGGTCCAATTCGATTAAAAATTGGTATCTGGAAGTTTTCGGAGTCGGTAATTTTGATTCTTTCGTCAAAATCTGGAAATCCAATATGACGAAAGAGTTTTGTAGTAATGATCCGAATCTATTCAAAATTGGTATTTGTGGGTTTTCGAAGTCGGAGATTGTGATTCTTCCGTGAAATTTTGTAATTCAATATGGCGGATCCATTATGGCGGTCGGGTTTTTGTAATCATGATCCGATTTTATTAAAAATGTTTTTCTATGGGGTTTCGGGTTCGGAGATTATGATTTTTATTGAGGACATTGGCGTATCATACGTAAGGCATTCATGATTCATCTCTAAATATTATATCTAAATGATGATCAATAATTTTTGAGTTTTTGATTTTTCAACTCCAGCAAACTTTTTGTGAAGCAGTGAGCATAAATTTGTCTAGAAGTTTTTTCTTATGTTCTGGTTCCCACGAAAAGGGATATCCCGTAATGTTCAGAGAACATCGTGAGAACCAAGGGAAATAAGATAGGAATTGGTGTTCTTCTTGAATTTCTGGCGGTTATATGCCTCGGGGAACACCTCCCTTGGCAAAGTGTCCCAGAGTCTCGCTGTTCTAATGGTGAATACTCTTGTCTAGGTATTCAAACTGATGTGCTCATATGTCATGTGTGCTGTATATTTATATATTCATGTTGGGTATATCATTTTTGCACTATTTTTCGAACATTTATATTTTCTGAATGTAGGTATAACTTTTAAAATGGTAGGGCATATGCCTCTTCTTTTAATCCTCCGTTTAAATCAAAACTTTCTACTGCAATGCATTCAAAAACTTGTGGTGTGGATAATTAGGCACAATGAGAAAGTATAATATGTTATTTCTTAGTCCTACCTCGCATATTTTGCTGATGTATTCACCGATTTTCCAAATTTGGTCTAGTTACTTTTCATGTTCTAAGTTCATTTGCATTGGTTGGAAAGCTGACAATTTCAAATTTGCCATCCAACTGATTGCCTAACGCAGCACATTTTTCCATTCTTCCAAAACAATTGAATAATGTCGTATTAAGATTGAGTACTAATTAAAATTTCGTAAGATTTCCTTTAACGCCTATGGATGTGACGTGACAGCAATGTCATGTCAGGGACGCCAATACACAAAACTAAAGTCACTAGATCATTGAAAGAGAAAAGAGCTATGATCTGTCCGTACCCTGCTAAGATGACAAATACGTCAATTTACATCAAGGGACCCCAAATTACAACAAATATGAAAAAACTATTGAACATGCCTTTGTAATTAGCGGAACTGAAAAATAGAGCATGAATTGTAGTTCTCAGGACTAAAAAAACACGCTTTCATAGATAACCAAAATAAAAAGAAGTAGAAAATAAAATTATGAAAGTGAATTAATGATTGCCAAGGGGCTAATATTTTCCATGTTGTGTATTTATGAACAAACTTTCATTATTTCATTTTCTACTTCTTTTTAGTTTGACTATCTATAAAAACGTGTTTCTCTAGTTTTTTGAATTACTATTTTTCATAGTTACATTCTGAACGTCCCCTTCGAACAAGAAGACGACTCCGGCATCGTCTACGTGTGGATCGGTTCGAAATGCGATCCAGACGAGGCCAGACTCGTCCAGGAGATCGCCGAGGACATGTTCAACAGTGCGTGGGTGACGCTGCAAGTGTTGTCCGAGGGCGAGGAGCCCGACAATTTCTTCTGGCTGGCGCTCGGCGGCAAGAAAGCCTACGATACCGAGGCGTCCTTTATGGAGTACACCAGGCTGTTCCGGTGCTCGAACGAGAAGGGCTATTACATCGTGTCTGAGAAATGCTCCGATTTTTGCCAGGTAATAGCTGAGCGTGTTTAACACCTTATATTAGCTTGGTACCTACGTGTTTCGACTGATAATGGCTTAATGACTGGCTTATAGAGTTGTTGCTTATAATGTCCAATCTATACTATTATAAAGGGGAAAGATTTGATTGTTTGTTTGTTTGTATGTATTGAATAGGCTCCGAAACTACTGGATCGATTTGGCTGAAAATTGGTGGGGAGGTAGCTTAGAACCAGGAGAAGGATACTTTTTATCCCGGTACCATTAGGAAATTCAAGATGGCGGATCTAATATATCGGACGAGTTTTGTAATTATGGTCCGATTCTATTCAAAATTGGTATCTGGGGGTTTTCGGGGTCGGAGATTATGATTCTTTCGTCAGAACTTGAAAATTCAGGCGGAATTTGGAAATTCAACAAGTGACACTGTTCCGGAAATATTCGGCGACTTGTTGCCTAATAATTTCGCCGAATGACATGGTTTTTCAAAACTTTCGAGCCGTACAAAAGAAATCGTGAAAATGGCTGATTGATTCTGACGACCAAGAGTGGAATATTCTTCAATAAATATTGCATAAGGATTTCATAAAGAATGAGAATGTTAGCTGCAAAACCAAGAGGATTGAATATCGACATCACGATCTCAGTTTTGACAAGAACTTGTCTATGATGGGCAATACATGTGACTATTTCCATCTTCTGTCCTGAGGGTGCCTCTAAAATAAACGGTGCAACTCTCAACATAACTTTGTAGTGATTTTTCTATAGGTCTAACCAGTCGCTTCCAGCTGCCGCCCATGTGTGGTGAATCTGGTGGTATAAAATGCCATGTGATATGTCTATCAGTTAGTGCTTCGCCTATTATTGTATCATTCAACAACACCAATTCTTGCTATGTATGTTTGTTTGTAACGCACGTGATTTTGATCCTCTTAAAAACGTAAAATCAAATTGAGCTACATCTTTCCTTGTCTAACGTATACTCTGCGCCACTGTACTATTTTCGATTTTATAATGATGTCATGAATGTCATTTACTGATAACCTTTCGAATTTTTTGAATGAAATTTCGAATTATATCATACTCATTATGACATCATTTGTTAATATCGTTAAATTTGACTCTCTGCTAAATTAAAAAATAGTTCAGTGGCACAAACTAGATGTTAGACAAGGACAGATTTATTGGACTTCTCTTTATTTCAATGCGGCTACGTTGGTATCATTGAAGAGAAAGATGTAAGAGAGTCTTGTCTCTCGCTCAAGATAGAAAAGACCTCAATTAATTGAAACTTCGCACACTTATCAAGATTCGATGACAATAGCATACATTAATAATTTCGTTCCATTATCCTGATCTGGATCTTCAGGATGAGCTATTTTTACATCTAGATACACGGTATTGTCTTCCACCAAGTACTGGAAACTGATCAACAATTACATTTACAACATACAAGGAAAACAACTGGCGCGCAAATTACCTACTTCCACTGTGACGTGGTAGTTACACATATAGAAAAAAAAACACTTCTGAAGTTAGCTGAACTAAAAAATAGAAAATAGATATCGCTTTCGAGAAGTAAGAAACCATGTATGTTGATGAATACGGTAAAACGGTATTAATCATGCGATGGTTTTTTTTTAAATTGTTTTGGTACTAACGTATTTTTGTCTGAAAAACACGAATTTGATGATGAACATGTGAACAAACCATTATTTATCAAGATATTCCACTATAAAGTTACAAATTTCACCTTCTTTTCCACATGTCGTGTGTTTGAGAATTTTGTGGAAATCTTATCGTTTGTGAAGTTTTTACACATTCTTTTCTATTATATGAGCCAACTAGAAATATGATTTTCTTGTGATTTATCCATATTTAGTGAAAAGAATGAAGAATATCATTTAAAATAATGGCGTGTTTAATGTCATTCAAAAGCATTCTGTTGACATCTGACATGCATCTGGTATTTGGATTGACTATTGATCAAATGGCCGTCATCTGGTATGATTGTTCACTAAATTTGAAAAACTCACCATAAAAATTATATTTCGTGTAGAATTTTCTATATAAAAATGTGTCATTGGAGTACATCATGAGTATATAAAGTGTCCAATGACAAAATAAGAAGAGACAAGTAGCTGTAAATGCATCCAACACAAGGGGAAATAGAAAGGCGGAATTTCGAACTTTTTCTTGAAATATCTCAATAAATAGTGGTTTGTTCACATTTTCATTATCAAATTCGTGTTGGATTTCATGGTGTTTTGTATTTCTAGGATGATTTAGCGGATGATGACATCATGATACTGGATAATGGGGATCAGGTATTCTTATGGTTGGGAGCGAATTGCAGTGAAGTTGAAATTAAATTAGCATATAAATCAGCACAGGTAAGAAACTATTCCATTGTGGGGAAGTTTGGTTCAAGATGTCAACAATTTTATTCGTGAACTCAATTCTCACTTGTTTTTGCACTTTCTGGAAATGTGCAGTGTATCAACTTGATCTTTTACTTTAACAGACCCAGGGTTAGATCAAGTTGATAATATTTTCTTCAAAACTCCATCAAAGACAAGATAGGCACTAGTAGTCGAAATTTGGTAATTAGAAGTCAACATTTCTTCTAATTTTTATTTCAAAAAGTCCCTTCAGAGCCATCGTAGATATATCCAATCTATACAGCATAATATTCACAGAGAATGCAGTTACAGAAAAAAATTTTAGGAGGTTGGTAAGCATAACTTACAATAAATTCATTTCAGGTGTACATTCAACACATGAGAGCAAAACAGCCTGAAAAACCAAGAAAGTTTTTCCTCACTCTCAAAAATAAGGAATCCAGGAGATTCACCAAATGTTTCCATGGTTGGGGAGCTCACAAGAAACCTCCGGAATAGAATTAATATTTTGTAGATAGGTACTTATTTATTGAATTATCAAATTACTAAATAAACACTAAAAATTATTTCGCTCACCAAATATTTTGATTATACCCATAGAATGAAAAGAGCAAAGGAAGGGTCATCTACTACCTGACCATAAGAACACGTAGGTACTGTAATAGAGTATTTTGGAGAGAAGCCGCCAATTTGCTTTATAGTTCAAGGTGAGTGTTTAATTTTAATGCTTTTTTTTTTCATGAAGTGGCATATAGGAAAAAGGTCTTTTCATTTAGAAGACAAATGACTTTCTGTGTTCACATCTCGCATCCAAAGATAGTGGCGGTCATTTTCACCGAAACACTTGCACCACACTCCTCAGTAATTAGTAAGTAACGTTTTTTCGATATAAATTAATATAATACAATTAATACACACCAGGAATATAGAAACGAAAATATTATATTGTTATCGTTGTTTCTCAATGACGAATGCCCATGGTGGTTCACACTGTTGACATTTGACAGAACGTCAATTACGTCAATAAAAACCGCCATATTTAAAATTGCCAATCAGAATTTTGTGTCGGAACTTATATAATGAGACTTCACCTCCGCATTAACCAATCAAATTTTGGATCTTAAAACGAGCGCATGCGTCTTGAAAATATATCTATATGAAAAGGCCTATTGAAATGAATCATGTTTTTTTTTAATCATGAACATTTTTTTTCTTTTTCATCAATTAGTGCACAAAAAAGGGAATCCCTATTATGTTCGAGTGAAGGAAACATAGGGAAAGGATGTAGAAGTTGGATTTTTTTCAACTTTTGGAGACTATAACAAGTTCTTTGGAAAGGATTTCCTCAGGGGTGTTCAGTATAAATACAAAATATTTTAACACATTACAAAATCTAATATTCTTCAGGAATAAAGATTAAACTTTCCTTTCTGCTCCGATAATGCCGGGTTTATAGATTCAATTAAACTAACAATTAGGAATTGACAATTGATAATTATTGAGGGTGTTTATACCTAATCTGATGATCAATTGAGAATTAAATGTGAACTATATTTTGAATAAAGATCAAAATGATGTTGAAAAGTGATTTTGATCTCCACAATCCATGAATCCATAAAAAAATTTTCCAACATCACCAAACTCGGCAAACTCCACTTGAACAATTACAAATCCAATCTTCATGTTCTGTCTCCAGAATTTCCTAATTCTTAGTTGTCCAGTTGAAAGTTGGTCTATTTAGTAATTCTTAATTTAAATGTACATATATCCACCTTTTTTTAATTACAGATGTAAATTTATAAACCCCATGGACTTATAATAATATGTTAATATGTCCATGATAAACCCTCATAGATGTTTCCTTGTATTCAACTTTTTAAGTTCATAGTTATTGTTAGTTCAATTCTTAGTTTATTCAAATCTGATTAAGGACTAATCTATGATAAGACCATTAAGACATTTGAGGAAATGAGGTCATTATAGTGTTTATGCTCTCTGACTGGGTTCATTGAGTGCAAAAAAATAGTTGAATAATTTTATTAATCTTAACTTCCATTGCTTTCAACAAAAAAGTTTTCTCTCCAGTTTTTATTCCTCTATTTGGTCAAGGATGGTGGTGAGGTTATGGATACTTAAATCTATTTGAAGGCAACATAATAGTGTAGAACATTCTTTATTGATATAAATAAAATTCAGAATAAATTTATTACTAATTATATACAATCTTCAACATTCCCATGAGAAGAATGATCAATAACTCAAATTAATCATCATCATCGTCATCATCTGAGGGAACAAATAGCTCATTTTCTTCCAGAAAATTGGCGATATTCTTACTGATCGCTGCTCCAATTAGTAAGCCGGGAATCACTGTTAATAATAACTTGAGTATACCAAAAGATGTGCGATGAGGTTGTTGCAAAATGATTCCATGTTTGGTAGAGTGACCAAATCTCAAAGATGTCTGTAGAACTGTTGGTTGTTTAAATATTATTTTGTTCAATGACACCAATCTTTGTAACATTTTTAACGATTACTTTGTACGGCCTGCGGCCTGATTTTAATTTGTGATTCTAGAAATCAAATTCAGAACTAGTCAAGTTTAAAAATAAAGAAATAAACATCGATAGTCCGGGAGCGGAGAGGATATTGTCAAAATGTCAAAAACTGTGTCAATCCGTCAGTGTCAATACTGCCAATGTCGACAATGGCTTGTCATAACTGTCATATTACAGAGCCACAGTACAGCAAAAAGGTTTCAGTTTGAACAACGGTGGTTATATATCTAGACAGTCTAGATATTTAGCCGTCATCGACTTGCGGTCACTGTGATATGTACTATTTCTATATATGGCGCATCGCCTATACGATATCTCAACGAAAATGGGACCAAATTGAGTGGTACTTTTTGAATCTATACTGACGGAATGTTGAGGATGGAAACAGCCACAGTTTCGTATTATTTTTTCCCTACGTCGGCATCAACACCTATTGGTCGATTTCGTTACCTATAGAGACAGAAGTTGTTCCCGCTTTGAGGGCAGCTATGATTCATATATGAGTAGTAGATATATGGTGTAAACCAAGATTGATGAACTAGACCGAATATCCGAGTAAACATTTTGTCGTGAGAGGTCTTCTCAATGTTTTAATTCTGTGTCACGATGCCATGTGTAATGTCAGGTGGCAGTGACAGGTTACAGGACAAGTCATAGTCACTGCATTTCTATGATTCTATGGCTTTTCCGTTTTTCTAATTATTGTTTTGAAAAAGGTGGTTTTGAATTTCTGATTCTGATTTCCAACAATGTGAAAAGGGTGAAAAGTTATTTTGCCCAATCCGAAAAACCACCAGCGCTCCAGCTAGTACCTGGTAAGTTATTATAAGTATACCTGTGGAGAAAATGAAATAATTTCGCTAGAAACTAGGCATCGATGTACACAAGTTATTACAATGAACATGTATTGAAAACGACGGAATTTTGTTGATTTCTTCCATCTATTCTAGCAATACTATCTACTTTTCCTTTTGCCGATTTGTAGGTACCATAGAGAAAGGTTTGATTTGTCTATGGTAGGTACCTAGTATCACCGACGACCGCGAGTGTTTTAAATGGTAAATAATAATCGTGTAGGCATTGTTACTAACTCCACAACCAGCACCATTTTATTGAATTGAATTTTGAATGCAACAGAGGGTGAACTATACATAAGGATATATCTTGTAGGTTCTCCGAAATTCGTCATTTTCTTCATATGTTTGTAGGTGTAGGTATATGACTTGGTATGAGCAGTATACTATTTCTTCATTTTGTCCACATTTTCAATAGTAGAAGAGGTACACAATTTCCACTCAAATTTCATCCATGCAACGTCAGTGTGATAATATGTTATAGTTCTCTGTGATTTATAATTATTAACGGTGATAGGTATATTTTCTACAATATGTAATTGCAATATATATGACGTGATGGAAAAGCGATGTGCTTTTGCGATAAAATTACAATGTCATGCTAGATATGACATCATAGTGAAATGTAAAAAAAGTGTCCTCCAACATGGTGGTGATAATATTCACCACTGACCTCTCTCTGATGACATGCATATAACGGGCTCCGTGGCAGAGTTTGTCTATGCGCTGAAATTCGCTAGATAGCCGTTCACGATGCAGAGGTACTGTCGGTTCGAATCCGGCTATCGGCTGAGCATTTTTCTTCAAAATGTGTGATTCATGGTTGTAATCCTGGCAGCACCTCGATGCCCTAGAAGTGGTTCGGATTCCACTATAAGCTGTAGGTCCCGCTCTTCCTAACCCCGCACAAGTTTCGACTTCTGGGGAGTTGGTTCCCAACTTTGAAGTAGCGATATACAAACTTTATCAAACTTTACCAATTATCTGCTAAATATGGAGAAAAAAATCTAGTGAGTTGTGTAGTTACAGAGCACTAGATTTTTTCTCCATATTTAGAAGACACTGGCATCTAATATTGATCATGCATTGTTGATGGTCCTTCAGGTCTCCTTAAGCAAACCAAGAATAGTTTGATATAGGGAATGTTTGCGAATTTATATAGCTTCACTTTGTTGAGTAACGTATATTTATGTATTCTTTTTCACTGAAAAAACATCTGAATAACAAATTGTTGGACAATTTTCTCGCATATATGAGTTTGCTTCTGTACTTTAGCAGCTATGCAACATTCGTGATATTGCAGTGTTGCCACTGTTGCCTCATCACGACATCTTAGAGATGTCATGTCATGTTTGCTTATAAACATACCCAGTAAACACAAACATCCCTGGGATGTCACATTCATGCCTCGCTAGGTAACAATGCGAGTCACAACATAACATCATTGGTATTACCAGGGGACTCTTTATTTTACAAAACATTTGCAATATTCCTCACATTTTATTAAATTTGAGACCTGAAATGTTGGTGATCAATCTGTGTTAACTGGGGTATAGTGATGGAACGTTTGTGATATCCCACTGTTACCTAAACGTGACATCTCAGAGATGTTATGTCACAGATATGTTGGCTGGGATATTGACAATGAGTTGATACTAGTGAAAGGTTGGCATGAGTAAAATGAAAATGTTTATTATAGTTTATAAGTAGAAAAATAATTTAATACATATAGAGAAGCACTCTCATACATATATGATTCATAAACATAGATTAAATTAATGAAATCAATGATTTCTAAACTAGCTTATCAATATAATAATAATAATGATAATAATTAATATCACATCCGCAATATTGTATATGCATGCTTAGAATGCTCCTCCAAATGTTATGATATAATGATCTGCTCTGCAAGTAAATGTTTTATCATCTTTATCAAAAATATAACTGAAGGCATCTGGACACTCCTTCTTGAACATGGCTGCATAATCATTTTCCCATGTATCAGATCTGAAAAAGTAAATAGATTTTGATGATATTATATAAGTCAACATAACTACATCATGATAGTTCAAAAATATAAACACTTGAACAATCATTGCATGAATAACGGAATAATGGCTAAAAAGTGGTTGTTTCTTAGATCTGAGATATGAATCATATTATGTTGAATTACTCTTGAATTGAATCTTATCACTAATATTCATAAGCAAATAATTCAAGAAAACTCGTAAATCTGTGACAAAGGAACTGAAAACTTATAAAAATGGAATCCATATACATCGGAGTGTCTCGAAATTACATAGAAATATTTAAACCACAGATTATTCCAGGAATAGAAATGGCCCTTGTAAATTTTTGTTGTTTTTATTTTTCTATGTTAAGGGTTGCAAAATGCATGAGGATTTCAAAAATGATTCTAATTCTCGGAAGAAGCAAAATCTCCTGCATCAAGAAATGGTGCTTTGGTAGGTGCATGGCAAAATTCATGAAGATATATCTAGAACAGTATTGAAGTCATGATAAGAGAACTAACTTTTCCTTAAAACTTTAACACCCTATAACTCAGAAGTTGAGAGGTTTAGGTTAGAACTTTCCTTCTTAAAATGAGCCAAAGAATCATATCCTATATTTTTAGCCATCATACCCTGTATAGCATGGAGATCTTTCATGGAAATGTTCCGTATCAAGGGGAATTCAAAAAGTAACTTTTTATAAAATCTCAATTATAGATACTTTCAAGAGTAGATTGTGGATTGAAAGTGTGATTGTGATATTTCATTGGAAAGGTAGGGAGAAAACAAATATTTTGGGAATTTTTTTAAATAATCATATTGCTACATTCAATAAATGTATTTATTTGGATTATATTTCCCGCCTCGTTCCCTAACTTCGCACCAGGTGACGGCACAAATTTCAAAGCATCTGAAAACTCTTCTCCCATCTCTAGCTGCTCTCTGCCCTATCGATCTTCGTCTCGAATCTCGTCATTCTTCAAAGCACATAATTCGGGTATTTTGGATTTTTCCATAATCGGGTAAATTTTAGGGAAGGTGTGATCACTTCGAACGAGGCGGTTCATGTAATCAAGATCGAACTTCACTCAGGTCGAAATCTTGAAGCGTAACGGGCATCAACTTTCGATTTTCAAATGGAACACCCTTGTATTTCATTGCATTTTTAGATCCTCCCTGAAGAGCTGCTTTCATCAATGTATCACACTTGGTGTCTATATAGCGAGAATGATTACAGAGATATAGGGTGTTCAAAATCGAGATTTTTCGACTTTAGGATTTTTTTGTGTCGAAACAATTCATTTTCAATCAAAACGGCTTTCATGTCCCTATCTTAACTGATTTACTATCTATACTGTCATCTAGTTGGAACAGATACAGGGTCAGAATTCTGAATCTTGAACCACCCTGTATTTGTACCAATTAAATGTCAGTAGATAGTAAATTAAGAGGGGAAAATCGAAAGTTGACGCCCGTTGCGCTTGAAAGTTTCAACTATGGAATATGATAATTGCGGCACTGGGACGAAATAGCGCAGGACAAAATAGCGCGGACAAAAGAGCGCAGGACAAAATAGCGCAGAGACGAAATAGCGCAGAGACGAAATAGCGCAGAGACGAAATAGCGCAGGGTCATAATAGCGCAGAGACGAAATAGCGCAGAGACAAAATAGCGCAGGGTCATAATAGCGCAGGAACAAAATTGCGCGCGAAAATAGAGTGCAGGATCTATGATTAGGTTTGTTCGTTTGTTAGAGTAAAGACTCATTCTTCAAATACAAGGTGTTTCAAAATGAGTCTATACCCTAGCAAACAAACTAACCTAATCATAGGTCTACTTTAACAATCCAACGGCATACCTAGTATTAAGTTACTTCGTTTGTAAGGGTAGTCTCCTTTTGAAACATCTAGTATTTGAAGAAATAGTCTATGCCCTGACAAACGAATTAACGTAATCATAGATGATGCACTACGTTTTCGCGCTCAAATTTGTCCCTGCGCTATTATGACCCTGCGCTATTTTGTCTCTGCGCTATTTCGTCTCTGCGCTATTTTGTCTGCGCTATTTTGTCTCTGCGCTATTTTGTCCGCGCTATTTCGTCCTGCGCTATTTTGTCCTGCGCTATTTCGTCCCAGTGCCGATAATTGCAGAAAAATGTGTCCCCCCGCCAAACAGAAATCGACCTATCCGAGCGATTTTCAATTTTTTCAACGACATCGGAGATTAGGGGGGTGACAAGTTTTAGCTCTGACACACTGTATAGTAAATACCTATTACCTACTATATAAGATCCAATATTTAACTGATTCTAGAATTGCCTCAGTAAAACTATAGTTATTATGCAATATACAATGGTATATTTTAGAATAGTTTTCCATATACACTTATGATCTCGAGAACGAGGCGGGAAATATCGGGAAATATAATCACAAGATCAAACGAAATTACTAGAGTGAAGTTCATTTGATCTTGTGATAATGCCCTGTTTATCTTGGCTAATTGGTTGTAAAATTGAAAACCAAATAAAATTCGACTAACATAGAAACTTCTCTGAAATTCAATTATATGATAAACATTATTATACGAGGCGTTATAACAAAGTAATAGACAAAAGAACAACTTCTTCACAATTGCCAATCTCGTTTAGTTGATATTGATACTCACTTGCAAGTACTAGGTGTTTTGTGTACTCCGCGACAGCAATATTCATCAGTCTTGAAAGTTTGACAGGGAGATTTGCATCCCAGAACGCCGTGAGGCGAATTCAAGCGCAGCTCTGTGGGACAGTCTCTCTTGAATTCGTGCATACAAGATGCCGGCTTGCAGCTTAGGTTGCCACCATTACCGACGCCATTTTCTGGCTGGACCTATATACAGGGGTGTTTTTGAAATAAGTACATATTATATTCAACATATCAATATGACACAGTCTATCGAATAAACCCATGATGTCAGATTATTTATTATTATTTTAATTAACGAGAAATTGAACTAAAAACGGGATAATCAAGTACGCCACTTTGAAACAATTTAAATTTTGAACAGAGGTGATCAGAATTGCTACAGTGTAGAACTTTGGGTGGAAAAAAGGGGCCTCATCCCAAATTTTATTTTGATCCCTAGATTTTTGTAGTGGTCCATTCGATAGTATACGTCGAACTTTCTCAGAGTTTGAACTATTTACACTAATTCAAATAATATAGCTAAACTAAATGTTTAAAAAATAGATTATATGATTTCTCACAAAGCAAAAACATTATACAAGGTGATTCTAAAATAGGTGGTCAAACTTTGGGAGTATATAGAGTAAGTGAAATAATCACGAAAACCTCGGTAACATTTTCTTCTGAAGTGCCCCCCAAGAAAGATACAGCCCCTCAAAGGGGGGCCTCGGAGAATGATTTTGTACTATTGTCTCCAACACCTTGTATGACGGAAATCTAAAATTTTGTTTATCCACTAACTATTCAGTGCCGGTTCGAATGGAGTAAAAAACACCTCGCAATTGAATACAGGGGTGTGTCAAAACAGGGAGGTAGGGGGTAAAAATAACCCCAACTTTTTTGTTCATCGCAATTTCAGTTTTTTTACATGAAATTATGAAATCTCAGGGCTATTAACATAGAAAAGGAGCTCTTGTTGAATCTCGATTAACTGAACCATTAGCGAATAAAATTTATTTTTCCAAAATATCATTTAAATTGCAGAGTTTAATTATCTAGTTCCAATCTTGCAACTGAATTTTTACCTACTTCTAATCGTCTGATGAACTTGGAATCTGTCAGATGACAGTTGACAACGCGTTGAGGATAGAAAAAAATATGGCGGCTCCAATGTGGCTGACCAGATTTGTGATTATGGTTCGATTCGATTCAAAAGGGTTTTTGTGGTTGGAAATTTTGAATTCGTTGTCGGAATTAATTAATTAAAAATGGACGACCAGTTTCGTGATTATTGTCTGATCCTATTGAAAATACTAAAATAAAAAATATTGTTAAAAACAAGCTCTTTTTAAATTTTATTTATAATAGTTCATATTATCCAGATGCAACAAGAGCACCTTTTCTATGTAAATAGCCCTGAGATTTCATAATTTCATGTCAAAAAACTGAAATTACGATGAACAAAGAAGTTGGGGTAATTTTTACCCCCTACCTCCCTATTTTGACACATCCCTGTATTTTATTTTGAGGTGATTTCAAGTCCATTCGAACCGATACTGAACAGTAAGTGGATGGACAAAATTTCAGATTTTCATTATACAAGGTGTTGGAGATAATGATACAAAATCATTCTCCGAGGACCTCCTTTGAGGTGCTGTATCTTTCTTGGGGGTCACTTTAGAAAAAAAATTTACAGAAGTTTTCGTAACTATTTCACCCACTCTATATGCTCCCAAAGTTTGACCACCTATTTTAGAATCACCTTTATATCCCAATCAATTTGGCTTCAGACCTGGAATAGGAACAGAAACATCTACATTTCATGTTACAAATACAATAATTAAATCGCTTGATGGCAACTAAGAAACTATAGGAATATTTCTAGATTTAAAAAAGGCTTTCGATACAGTTTCCCATGACATTCTTTTCAAAAAACTACAAAATTGTGGCATAAGGGGTAAGGGTTTGGACTTATTAAAGAGTTACTTATCGGAAAGAGAACAATTTGCAAAATTACTAGATACTTTCAGCCAAAAAAAACATCTTATTTGTGGTGTTCCTCAAGGAACTGTTCTAGGTCCAATTCTTTTTCTCATTTATATTAATGACACATTAGAAACATATATTGATGGACATATGCTGATGATACATTGATAATTGTTAATGGAAATTCTTGGTCACAAGCTGTATCTCACACAGAAAAATCTACAGGAATAGTAAAAAATAATCTAAATGTATCCAAAATACCAGTAATTTGTTCGTGCACTAATAAAATATCTAAAGTGTATACAATCAAATATCTTGATATTGGTCATTGATCAAAATTTATTATCATGTTTCAGAACTAACAAAGAAACTCAGAAGTACCCTCCCAAAATTCAGACTTTTGCGAAATATTATCAGTAGACATTTAATAATCATGTTTTATCATACTCTCTTCCAATCTATATCATCGTATGAAATAATTGGATGGGGTGGTATGTATGAAACTCATCTAAAACCTTTGTTATCTATTCAAAAATATGTTTTGAAAATAATATTAATAATCATCATTTTCAGTAGGTAGTAGAAAATTACAAAAAAAAATTCTAGAAAATCGCATCATTAGTAACCGAGATTATAGGGCGTATAGTGATGAAAAGCAGGATTTTGAATTTTTCTTGAGATCTTGAAAATTTGAATTAGGGGATGCTGATTCTGAATCTGATGAACAAAGTCATTTGAAATAAGCCCTAATACCCTTACCCGAGCCAAGGACTTTTTTGTACCCCTCAACATCGCATGTCAATGGTGAATGAAACTGTTCACTCTGCTGAATACTTCATAGTTCTATATACATCGATTATAACGGAGATATTAGGGCGTATTCATGAAAAGCGGGGTACACTGTATAATGACTAGAGATTGGACAAGTCAGTCGAAGTGAAGAGTTGACGCCACTGTTACTGCCTTCATGTGACTGATACTTTACACTGATGTGTTATACATACACTAGCTCCGATATTGAACCCATCCACCAATGTAACATCGTAGTAGTCCACTCCTCTGTGGGCTTTCAGCGATATCTCGACGGTGGTAGCCGGAGGAGCCCCACCTCTTCTGCCGCATTTCAGCTTGTTTCCGCAGTCTCCAGTCAAGCAATGTTTCGATCCTGGATCGCACCAGGTCCTGGCCCACAGGCGGCCTGCCCAATTGTCAGGAACATTGAGGATTTTCTATAGAAAAAAAATGTAGAACATGAAACCATGCATATTGCCTACAGACTCATATGTTCAAACCAATGGATCGAAAAGGCAGACTATGGACATTTCCTAACATGTAGAGTCAGTCCCTGTATGTATTTGACAGTTTCGCTGTAAAAAGAGAACGGACACTAAAAAATTTTAAATGACATGACCTATTTGGCGGGCACTGACAGTTCATGAAGGTAAATGACTTCGAATTATTTGAAAATTCAGCTATACAATGGCTAATTGGGGCACAATGGGGCCAGACTGAAGAGGCCTACGTGTAAGGGTTCATGTACCCGTCCTACCGTGCACTGACTGAGTTCTATATTTTCTATCAACATGACATGTAATCTCGGTCCACTAAGTGTACCTACAGGGTGTTAATTAATTGATTGCCGATAATACAAGGATTACATCCTCGGGTGAATATGAGGAGAAATGTTAAAATCAACATATGTCCTAAACCTCTGAGCTTTTGACAAACAGGGTCTCAAAATATCAAGAAAAAGTGTGTTTTTCGTCATTATTTTTTATAACTCAGATATTTTTATGTATTTTTGTACACACGCCACTGATTTTTTTAAACCAAAATAATTTTTGCTATACCCATTCATTTTCTAGCATATTTGATTCCTAGTCTTACTTTCATACGATGTACCGTTTTCGCGTAAAGAAATAAAAACCAAAAATTTTATTTTCTTCAGTTCAATGAGATTGTTAGTAGGCACTCACTGTGAGTGGAAACACATTTTGTTTTGGGGCGAAAGTCAATTTTTTACTTTTACCAGTGATGTTCACATAGGCCTGATGGAATGTTTTGATTTGGAAAAAAATGCACGCCTCTGATTTCAACTCCCTGTAGCTCAAAAAATAAGACTAAGACATACGAACTTCTCTCCTCGAAATTACCTGAGGATTCACACCTTGTATTATCGGCACTGAATTAATTAACACCCTGTATATTAAATCTATCTTCACTGCCCCGTATACCTCTTTCGATATCATCATTAGTCACAGATAAAATATTTGTTCGGAAATCTATCGGTTACATAATTATTCATTAGGGTGATGAATCAAGCCATACATCAGTCCCGTATCAGAATTCATCGCGTACATGTGTGTGGGTGTGTTGTTTGGTGTTTTGTTGTGGAGATCGAAAAAGGCTTGGGTGAAATTTATTTTGTTGAAAGTTGTAATTTTCATTATTTTTTTCTTATACTTATACTGAGGGACTAATAAAAAAATGATTGCCATATTTAGAGTCTGAGATAGATATGAAAGATTTCTTATTTTTATCAAACTGCAATAATTCGCTTCCTTCACATTTACACTATACTGACCGAAAATATAGCTTGTTAAAATTTGGTATATTATATGGAGCATTTCATGAAATTTGTACTTATACAGGGTGTCCCATTGGGAAACAGGAAAACTTCAACAGTGGGTAGAGCTCATCAAGGTGGTTCTGAATATACCATATTTGTAGTGTTTCGCAAGTATTATATCCGAGATATAGGGTGTTTTATCAATTCTGTTCAATTCTTTGTGAGGACATAACTTACGAACCACCTAGTATAGTCATTTGGAATTTGGTACACAATTTTGCCTTCTTCTACCAAAGCGACTCGCCTATCAATCACGAGAAAAATCCAGGACCGGATCAATGGAAATTGATCATATATCTGGACCCCGAAAATATCACCCTGTATTTTCGAATCTCCAAAAGCCGCTCACATATTTGGGAAGTGCATGGAAATCTGAATCGTATGATGTACTTTCCATTTTTCCGCATGCTATTTCACTAGATAATTTCTGATTTGATTTGAATATGAGGTTTCATGCATTTGGATAGGTAAAAATGAAATGTTTTGAGTTTTCCCAATCGAATAACAAAAACTATCACGAATCACTCAGTATATTCTTTTGGAATTTGGTACACAAGTCCTCCTTCTTCTATTTCAGCGACTCACCTATCAGTCACGATGAAAATCCAGGTCCGGATTAACGAAAAATTTTGATCTTCTGGCCCCGAAAAAGAACACCCAGTATTTTCGAATTTCCAAAATTCGATTCCATATTTGGAAAGTTCACAAAGAGATGAATCGAATCACTTATTAATTTCTCATTCTGAAAACTCAAAACTTTCCATTTCACCTCGATTTCTACCTATCCAAATGCATAAAACCTCAAATTCAAAATCAGAAATTCAGTAGTGAAATAGCATTCGTATGAAAATCAAAAGTAGACAATTCAATTCAGTTTTTTGTGCAATTTTCAAATATGTAAGCATATTATGGAAATTCGAAATTACAGGGTGTTCTTTTTAGGGCCCAGAAATATAATCAATTTTCGTTAATTCGGACCTGGGTTTTTCTCGTGAATGATAGGTGAGAGGGTTGGGTAGATCAAGGAGGACTCGTGTACCAAATTTGCAAAAAAATATACTGGGTGGTTCCTGATAATATTATTCGATTGGGAAAACTCTAAACATATTATTTTTACCTATTCAAATGCATAAAACGTCGAATTCAAAATCAGAAATTCCTTAGTGAAATTGCATGCGGGAAAATGACGTGTACCATTCGGTTCAGCTTTTTTTGCACTTTCCAAATATGTAAGCGGATTTTGAGAATTCGAAAATACAGGGTGTGCTTTTTGATGTCCAGAAATATTATCAACTCTTGTTAATCCGGACCTGGATTTTTTTCGTGACTGATAGGTGAGTCGCTTTGGTAGAAAAAGAAGGAATTGTGTACCAAATTGCAGAAGAATATACTAGGTGGTTCGTAAGTTATGTCCTCACAAAGAATTGAGCACAATTGATAAAACACCCTATATCTCGGATATAAAACTTGTGAGACCCTACAAATATGGTATATTCAGAACTACCCACTGTTGAAGTTTTTCCGTTTCCCAATGGGACACCCTGTATATTGTTTGTATGCTATAAATAATGGTAGGTATCACAGGTCATAACAAACAATAAGATGAGAATAATAAATACTCCAAGGTATTGAAGAATATCAATATTGCCAGGGACCAAGATATCCCGGGGCTTGAGCAGAGGGGTAGAAGGTCCCGTGGTAATATTATTGTTTACTCCCAAGGTGTATATTAATTTTTATCACTACTAGCAATGTATTTCCATCGTTTGATTTTTGTGAAACTGAATTATATTGTCATATATAATACCACAAGTAGTTTTGGATCAATGTCATGAGCGAAATTAGAGCAGCAAGCTGGAGTATGTCCATCGACGAATACTTCCAGGAAAAATAGTATCACGAGTTGTATTCGTATGACTATTTCATGATTGAATGAGACAATATATATAAGAAATAGGAAACATAATTCAAGTATATTCCAACCCGAACTGCGAAGAAGAACATAATGATAGTAATGAAATACAGAATTTACTCTTTTAGAAATTAACTTATAGTTATTCACAAAGTGGAATGTACAATTTTGATAAACAGTATTTTTTTTATTATCTTGGAGATGGTTGCTTTCAAAAGAGTGTATACAATTACTATCCAATTCAAACAAAATAAATTGAATTTATCTGACATGGAATAATAAAAAAAAAAGATATCGTCGCCGAGGGCTCGAACCATCGCCCTTCGTATCCTCGCGCAACAACCCTAACAGTTGCGCTATATCAGTCAGTCACAATAACTTGAGTAATTGAAGAAGATTACTTCAAAAAGGAATTTGAATTGCAAACTTTTTAAATTACACATGAAACGTCCAGCCAGAATAAAATTGTCTCGCCTTTCGTACAAAATATCTCACTAACGCGAATCGCGAATTATAAGTAAATAAAATAAAGTAGGAACTTAGGTTATTGTCTCAGATATGAATCCAAAGCAATCTTGACCAGACACGATGTCAAAATTTTATCGCTGAATCGAGGTTAGTTGGTCACGTGTGGGTCAATTCGGCTTTTGTATTGGTAGAGCAAGTCCGATAAAATTTAATAAACAAAAAATATCGCTAGAATACAGAAGAAACCATCAGTGGCGGCTCCTCAGAGGAGGCAACGGAGGCTGAGCCTCCTCAGAGATTTTCCTTAAACTGATATTATCTATACTTTCTTATTAAAAGGACACCAAAATACATGGATTTTGATTTTATTTCCTGTTTTTAGGTCAAAATTTTTTAATTGGCAACAGTGCTTGCCCACGCATCACACGTTGAAGACTGCAAATCACGCGTGAAATATTCAACTTGGCAACATCTTTAGGAGGCTAGACTCCTTCGCAACCCACAACCCACGCGCGCAAATCAAATGCTCGAATACGCCCGAATAGCACGTGTTTGTCGTGTCGCGTCGCGAATTGCGGATAATCCAGCGCGAGTGCATTGTTTATGTTTTTGTTAGGTTAATGGTTAGGGGCTCTATAAATTTCTGAAAAATGAGTGTTTTAAACGATTGCGATTTAGTGAAATACTTTTTGGTGAACCCATTCAGTGCTTTGTCTTATGAAGATAAATGGATTGTGAAAAACAAACGTCCGACACCGGAATTAAAAAATCTGATTGTAACAGGTAACAAACAAAATCGTTCGTTCAATTCTGATAATTATAATAGTTATTTATTATACAAGGGAAAAAAGTAGTAGATTTTAGCTCCAGGTTGTGTTGTCTCCCGACGCGTAGCGGAGGGAGACAACAAACCGTGAGCTAAAATCTAATATTTTTCCCGTGTATAATACACTATTTTTTTCTGTGACAGAAGAAAGGACGAATCAATATTGAGAAGATATTACATTATTTTGATATCTGAAAATTATCGACGTGAAATTTTAAGTTTTTAACAGTAGGGACACCGCGTTGTAGGCATCTTTATCATTCATTTGAAGTAATCAAATATCTGATGTCACTTCTGTCAGTCTAATTTTGTGATTTTATTTCAAGAAATTGCGAATTCAGTGGTTATTTAGCAATACACGTAACCGCGAAGTCGAATGGAAGATAAAAGGACTTGCAGTTCTTTCTCGGAGACGGTATTATTGACTCATTTTTCGGAACTATAGCACAACAAAAGCCATCAACAGTGTATATATATGTGATATATTATATCCGGGAAAGAAGTACTCACTTTTTTCCCACGGGAAAAAAGTAATTTATGAAAAGTGACATTTTATAACCTGCCAACAGGGATGAAATGCCAAACTTTTTTCCCGTCACAGAAAAAAAAATATATCTGGTTGACGGGATCTGAGGTAAGGAATAAGCTATTTTGTTGGTACTGCGTATTATTTTCAACCGATAAGTCATCATGTTGGGGGCGATTAGGATATAATGATTTGAAAAATTTGCCTCGCGGATTGGATAGACACTGCAAATCACAGGAACAAGTATTAAGTTCAGGTCAACTGGTAAACAGAATGTCATTAGAGCTATATTGATTTGGGTGAGTAGAGAGTTGTTTTTCACAATAAATCTCATATCATTCAGCCTCCTCTGTCATGAAAGTCACGAGCCGCCACTGGAAACCATGAAAATGGTCGATGCTGATTGGTTCTCGAGATCAAGAGTGGAATAGTATCTATAAAAGCATGATCATGGCAGCATAATAAGAGAAGTCGTTATTGATGAATGTCACCTTACGCCTTGACAATGAGTTAATAATGGTAGGTTCTAGTGCTAGTGGTGGAAAAAATAATATACTGGTCCGACCAGAATAATGAACTCAAATTTACCTGATGTATCGAACCATTACAAAGAATTTGAAACTCGTTCTTTGAATATTTATTAACCTTTCAGTGGCACCGATTTATGGATGAATATTATAAGATAATTTTTATTGCATTCTTGGTTTCTGCGGAAGGTGTCAAGGCCGTGCCCAGAAAGTGGGGTCCGGGGGTCAAAAAAATCGAATTATCAGTTTTTTTTTACTGGACCCTCTCCTCCCCCCCGAAAAATCCTGGGCACAGCCTTGGTAGGTGTTGAGATTTGACAGCTTCGAAGGCTAACTACTTTTTCAATCTGTTGAAAAAAATCACTTACCGTCTCTGTGGATTGCAATTCAAAACCACCATTTTCGACAACTGCTTTGCCTGGTTCGGACTTGATGCCAACCCATATCAGTCCTATCTCTTCGTTGGTCACTTCTAACTTTACTGTTGCTTCTGTTATGATAATGGATGCAGCAACAATGAAAACGTAACGAAACATTTCGACTACAAAAAAAATAATGGGTACAAAGTGGTACAAGTTGAAGTTGCCGAGTTTTATATCTGAAGTGTGTAGAATAGGTTGTTATGTTATGTTTTATATCTGAAGTGTGTAAAATAGGTTATGTTTTTTCTTTTCAATATAAGAATATCACAAATATTATATATTTGTCACTCTGAAAAAAAAAACATTTTCCAATCTAAAGGCACTTAACTATGAACCCAAAAATTATTATATTCGCCTGTGTCAGATATTAGGCCGTACAACAGTTTTTTTTAATCAAATTTCGAGCGGACAGAAATCGATAATTAATTATTAGGTATACGTAGCTATAACTATAATATCGTTATTGTTTATTGATGTGAACGAGATGATTCATTTCACAGATTATGGTTTTTTGATGATCTGTAAATGCCTGTAAACTGATTGTCCTACATTGTCGTTTTGTTTTTGGAGTCGATTTGAGTTGGTGGTTTGAGTAAAAATTGTTCTTTCGTAGTCATTACTAAGAGTGGTCTCTTCTTTGTTTCACCTGTATGATTCTTTTCACAATCACAAGGTACCTATACTTTATATACATACACTTTTCATTTGAGAATTGTTCTTCATTCTTGGTTTTGTTTCCGTGAGAATTGATTTTATTGTAATTTCAGACATTCAATTGAAGCTCAAGGAAATTCCTATATAATGTTCAACGGTGTGGATTTTCATAATCCGAGATTATATTGTCGAAAAATATGCATACATAAAAGTTTGAGCAATATTTAATGTAGTCCCACCTCGAGTCCCACCCTGTATTATACACTCCTGAATGAAACTATGGAATGATTTTATGTTCACCACATCGGGCATGGGAAGTTCAGTTTTTTTACCAAATTGCATCATTTCATCACGCGGCGTTTCGGAAATACTCAAGAAATATCATCATTCAGGAGCCCCCTTTCAGGGGGCCATAGCTCCCTTAGGAGACATTTCTCAACTCATGTTTATTGAAACTTTTCTTCCTATTTTTGCTCATAGAAACCGCTGGTGGAGTTTGGCAGGCTGATTTCGGGCCACCCTGTATAAGTAAACTCTCGGAACTCATGGAGAGTACTTACTAGAAAATTGTGATTTTGGAAAGCAATATATCGGTGCAGCTTTCTCTGAAATTTTTTTACCCAATGAGCTTTTTCGTTGTATATTTTGGCATTTTTATGTTCCTCCCGATAATACTATTCCAACAAACTATCACAATTCTTGTGGTCTGAAACGATTAATTCAAGAACTACAGGTATATATATACAGTATGATGCAAATGTATGGAATAAATTCATTATTTCAGAAATGGTCGACATTTCAAAAAATTCCAAAAACACGTGAGGTTTCATTTTTGAAGCCTCTTCTCATGATATCCATATGAGAGATGTTACGTCACCGGTGTTGGAGTAATGACGTAATGAACGATTTTTTCAAATGAAAACAGTCAAAATTTTGCATAAGAAACTTGAAATTAAAATGGATTATCATTTGATTAACTGATTCTTGCAGAGATCTGCTACTGAGAATTGAACAACGAAGAGTCGTCTATTTAAAAAAATACATCAATTAATAAAGTTCTGAAGTCTAGTTTGTAGATTTTTTTCGGAAGTCGTCTTGTTTTGAAATGAATTTATTCCATACATTTGCATCATACTGTATATACTTCAATAACCTTTGTCCCAATACGATTAGGACAAACGTCTTAAATGAACATTTGCCAAATAATTCAAATTTAGGATCACCCTATATATTTGAACAGTCCCATATTTTTTATGATCATTAAAACAATAATCATTCATATTTCATCAAAAAAAGTAGTCAAAAAACTTTGGGACAGAGAATATTGAAGAACCTAGTTCTTGAATTAATCATTTCAGACCACAAATGTGATAGTTTGTTGGAATCGTTTCATCGGAAGGAAGAATAGAAATGCCATAATATACAGGTTGTCCCATTTTGAATTTTGAATATGATGTCACGTGGCCGAAAACAAAATATCAGAAAAAGCTGCACCGATTGCTTAAATTCACAGCCCCAAAATTACAATTTTCTAGTACTCTGGAGTTCCGAGATATTCCCTGTCTTAATCGTCGTGAGATACCCGGTATACTCTAGATAAAAAAAATTTACAAACATACAGTGCGTGTTCCATTCCAAAATTAATATACTCACGAGAAACTAGAAGTAAATGAAAAATAGCATCGACAAAGGCGAATGAACAACCCTGAAAGTTCGTTTTTGGATGTATGATAAATTGATTGATTCATTCATTCATCATACAGGAAGTGGAAAGAAATTCTGAATTGAGAATACCTATTCACGAATCTGCGATTGAAGGTCTATAAAAATAACAAGTCTCCATCGTTCAATTTTGAACCCTTTGATTGGATGAAAGTATTGAAAAGGAATACTCTCAGATATAATTATGAACATAAAAAAATTGATAGATATACCGGGTGTCCCAGTATACCTGTTCCAATGAATTATCTCAGCTATTTCGAAAAATAAAAACTCGAAAATTTCATGATCTCTAATTCGTTCGAGGAAGATTCAACTGAGAAAAACAAAAATTGAAAGTCACTTATTCCAGTTTGACCGGAAGTGACTCTAACTTTTTTATTTCAAATAGCACCCTGTATATTTTATGCAATTTTTGATTTTTACTCAAAATTACCGTTCCAACGATGTATCACACTTCGTATTTCAAATTTGATTTGATGGAGAATACGAGAATTGCAATTTCAAATTGAACGAATTGCAGTAGGCTACGATTCTTTTGTAATCTTGATTTTAACCTCAATAATAATTTCAAATTATTAGAATTGTAGTAGATCATAATATTTTCAAATTTTCATCTTTCGAAATGGCTGAAATAATCTATTGGAACAGCACTTTAACAAGACTCCTTCATCCATAGAACGGCTAGGCTCTGGAATTCATTGTCTGTGGAAGTATTCCCAACAACATATAATCTCCAGAAGTTCAAAAAAAATTTCAATACCTACCTCCTGTCCTCATTCTCCCTAGGAACGCACGATGTTCTTTGAACATTATAGGGATTCCCTTTCGTGCGCTCCAAGCGATAAAAAAAAATACTGGGACACCTGGTATATAAAGAAATCCATTCTCTATGTGATGATAACATCAATTCTTTCTCGGTTTATTCAACAGAAAACAATTACTTTCCTGGCTATGTGCCACGGGGAATATTGAATTATATCTATTGAACACCCTCGATAAGAATTTGAAACCAAAATCTTCTGAAGTAGAGAATTTGCATTCTCATTCATATGAAAATATGCACATAATTTCATTCTGAATGGCTGAAAGAATAACTAGACTTCAGGTTACTGATGAGGATTTGATATCCGAAATGAGTTCATTCGAGTGAAGTCATATAACCTGTTTGTGAGAGATATAATCCCCATATCACTGATACGAATGATATATTTCAATTTTTATTTCAATACTGAACTTATTGGTAAGTTATATTTTTATATCATAATACATCGTATCATTTTATCCTATAATGAGAGATAATGTCAATTTTCAATTTCAGAGGATTCTCATTTTTCATGCTCTCTTTTTGGATGTTCAACAGATATAATGCAATGCTCGTCGTGGCATATAGCCAGGAAATTAGTTATTTTCTGTTGAATAAACCGAAAAAGAATTAGTCATGGAAACCATCCATCCTTCTCAAAGTGGTCCAGATTTTTTCAAAGGAAAAAACACAAACACTGAGTCGGTCGACCACAAACTGTAATTACAAAAGTTTTGTGACTAGTTTCGGCTCAAGCAGCCATCTTCAGACACAATATATAGTACCTGTAAAGATATTGGTTTACAAGAATAAAATGACATATTGAGGAAAAAACATACCTATAAAAAGACACGTGGAATCACATAATAAAATTAATTGAAATATGAATAGCAGGGTCATTTGGCCAAAATCGCCGGATTGAATTGAAGTGCAATGAAATGTACTCACTAAAATTGCAATCACGAGTCCAATCTGGATCAGGAACGGGGATACAGAGGGTAGCAAGTCTAGTTTTTTTTTTTCAGATGCATAAAATTTAAGCGAAACATAGGCAAAATTAACATGTTTTAGAACGTATATGCTTATTTATCTCAAAAACGGTTCGTTTCTCGAAAAAAATTGAGAATCAAAAAAGCTTCTGAATTGAACGATCCACCCAATTTGATCACTGAAAAATGCCAGAGGCGTACTACGGAAAAGATTGGGGGGGGGGGGAATAAGGAAGCCTCTCTCCCCAAAAACGTATCATCCTGTAGATTTTGAAAATCTTTAAATGGCTTGAAATGATGATCTTCTAGGAAGTATTGACCACACCGAATTTCAGAATAATATCTTGAAAAGTAACCGAGATATTTCCATTAATAGAAAAAAATAATTAAGCTTTCACCCCCTGTAACTTTGCTATTGAACGAGATCGGACTAATGTTTATATACACTTTTTTGATTAAAATGATGAGATCTATTTCCATTTCAGTTTGTGCCTTAAAACCTGAATCACCCTGTATATCCATTTTTTTTTGTTCATAATATTATATCTGAGAATATTCCTTTTCAAACCCTGAAAGTTATTAGAGGTAAGAGGGATTGCGGTTCGCGTTTTCGTGGCCACCCGGTATATGGGTACAGGTTATACCTGAAAATCAGGTCTGAAACACCGAAACTCACCTGCAGAATTTGCACTGAAATAAGTTGGTTGGTCTGGTAGGGACTGAAGAACAAAGAAATAACGAATTCAAAACACGTCTCTGCTTCGTAATGTGCTGCGATTGAATGCGAAAAGCAAAGATCGAAAGACGGTCGCAAGATATAAACAACACAGCAAGAATAACTGGTTTAATCTTAATCAACATTGGATATTCCAAACATATGTTTGTTACTTTTAATTGCGGGAATCCACAGATTTCAAAGGCCGATAATATTATGATTTATCCATTGGCTATACGAAAATCAAATCAAAATAAATAAATTAATAAATAACATTTTCATGTGAGAATAAATAATTATAACTAGCTTAGTTATCAATAGGGCAATTCAAGGATCCACGAAAATTATAGCTGAGCCATACAAGGTGAACCAATAAAATTCCTCCTAATATCCTACCTAAACAGTGCACAGTGGCGTACCTACAGATGGATAAGGGGGATATATCCCCCCATATGCCGATAGGAATACACCACATTTCTTCACGTATTACGTTTTTCATCTCTATAAGGGTTTCTTGTCGTTGGTCGTTGTGTGAGACTAGCATGACAGGGTGGTTTCAACATCAGCAGTTGGTACTGATGGAAGTGATTTCTCGTTACAGTTGATTGAAAATTTATCATCTATCACTCTGGAAGAAATCTTATTCTCAATCTGAAGGTATTTGACCTTGATCCAAAAAAATTTTGCCTGTGGCGTATTCTAACCGTACGAGCATATTCCCAGCCAGCACATCTGTGACATGCCATCTCTGAGATGTCGCGTTTAGGTAACAATGCGATATCACAAACGTTCCATCGCTGCGATGTTCATAAGTAAAAACAACTGCGACATGATATCTCTATGTCGCGATGGGGCAACACTGCGATATTACGAATGTTACATTGCTGCAATATACAGAAGCAGACACATCTGAGATGTCGCGATGAGGCAACACTGCGATATCACGAATTTTCCATCGCTGCGATGTACAGAAGCAAACACATCTGCGACATGACATCTCTAAGATGTCGTGATGAGGCAACAATGCGATATCACTAGTGATACATCGCTGTGAGGTACAGTTGTGTCCAGTTTTAGATGCTTTTGCGTGATATCTCAGTTATCTTTGGAGTTAGAACCTAGCGGTTTTCGCAGTCCTGTGCCACTTTTTTGTGAAACTCAAAATGGCCTAATCAGATTTTGCACAACTGTTTTCGTTTTTGAGATACAGGGGGATTTTGAAAATGTATTCTTTTTGGACCCCATCTATATCTACGAAGTTTCTCAGCGAATATTTCAAATTAAAATCTAAGCCCATAGAAAATTTTACGCAGAATCCAGTGGTGCTCTCAATTTTTTTTTTTCGGGTATGGTTCTGGAGATACGACTCAAACTTATGATTTTTCAAATGTATTTTATCAGCTCATGAAATTCCTTATTTTTTCTATTCAAAATGATATATAATGTATAAATATAAAAATCTCAATAACGCTCCAAAATCACTAAAACATTGAATTTTAAACGGACTGGATGGATTTTTCATATAAAAAAAGTTCCAATATCTCCTTTGATTTTTCCATGAAAAGGACAAAAACAATACCAACAATAATTAACTAACAAAACACGAAACTTAGTTTCCTGATAGCAACAAATTAAATAGGTAGTAATAAAAAGTTCATAATTTAGAATAAGCACCTGATTAAATATTTACTAAAACAATTGAATTTCGAAATTATTCAGTAAATTATTCACTGAATTTGTTCAAACTGATGTCCATTTTCCCTCACACACTTTCTCAATACTTCCTATGCATTCAAAATCATTAAAAGATGTCTTTGTAATTTTTGAAAAACTGCGTCTGTTATACGAAGTTCTTCAAGATTGTTGTGCCTCTCACTATATTAAGACATATTGTGTTAAAGAAAATGGCAATCAATTTGAACAATTCAATGAATAAGTTACTCAGTAATTTCGAAATTCAATTGTTTTAGTAAATATTTATTCAGGTGTTTATTCTACATTATGAACTCTTTATTACTATTTATTTGTTGCTTTCAGGTACCTAACTTTTGTGTTTTATTCGTAAATTAGTGTTGATATTGTTTTTCTCCTCTTCATGAAAATATCGATATAAATATTCCTTCAATAGGAATTTTTTTTAAATGAAAAATCCATAGCCCACTATTGAAATTCAATGTTTTAGTGATTTTTGAGCATTTTTGAAAATGTTATATCTATGAATCATATATTATTTTGAAGGGAAAAATACGGTTAATGAGGTTGTGAAATACAAGGTGTGCCATTAAAAAAAATCATAAGTTTGAGTCGTATCTGCAAAACCGTACCCCAAAAAAAAAAAATTAGTGCGCTACTGCATTCTGCATAAAATTCTCTACGGAATAAGATTTAAATTTGAGATTTTCCCTAAGAAACTTCGTAAATATAGAGGGGGTTCAAAAATTATAAATTTGAGCTTTACCAAAAAGTGGCACAGGACCGCGAAAACTGCAAGTTTCTATCTCCAAAGATAACTGAAATATCACGCATCGAAAACTGGACACACTGTACAGAAGCAAATTCATATGCTTCGGTGAAAAAGGATACATAAATATATAATATAAAGGATATATAAAAATATTTCTTACATTGCTATCAAACTATTCTTGGATTGCTTACATCTCGCCGACATACACTACATAATTTTTTATACAAAGACGAATAACAGATCTTATTCTGATAGAGATTTATAGGTACCAAGGATAGCGTCACAACAGTCACAACAACACAAACATAATCGATATTAGATGTCATCAGAAGTCATTGGTGTACCTATTATCACACAATGTTTGAGGAAACTTATATCACATTCTGCGAAAAACTTTTTCATTTAAACCTGAAGAGATAAGAGACAACTTGCAACACCATTTCGAGGAATATGCTATGAGTATTATGAAAATAGAATTGAAAAAAATCCCTAGAATTTTCCATCAAATTTTGAGCATGGAGAATTTCTCAATATATTGCAGAGGTTTGCTTGTCATCCTGTATAGCCAAATGTCATCACATATTTTCATCAGCGGTCTATCTGTCTTATACTCAATGAATATTTCTTCAAAATCGAGAAAACCGCATTCGAATATCTGGAATTTTCGTTAAAATATTCAAAGTTGAATTTAGTGCAAAAATGAGCTTGATGCGGTTCAATTGATCTGCAGTTTACGATAACATGAATTATTATCATAAGGTTAGTTCTATTACGGAATCGTCCCGACAGTTTGAAATTTCTATGTGAACTCTTCCACCCATATTATAAACAGATATAGAGTTTTATAGCTTCGCATTATATGGATAACAAAGCTAAATCTGCTAATCTCACGACGTCATTGTGATGCGTGGATATTTTTCTACAAACGTCAAAAAATGACAAAGTTCGCGCATTGATAAATTACGAAATGACACTTTTTTCAGTTTCCTACTTTACCACGACTCCATGCGCGAAGTATATACTTCGTATATTATAACTTAATCAAGCAGACAACCAAAAAATCATTCATTTCTGAAAGATTCAACAATACATTTTTTTTGTCACTTGGACCGCACGGAAGGAAATTTCTATAATATATCGAAGACTGAAACGTTTGGCACCATAATACACTACACACTGTTTTAGTACCCTGTTTACTATTGTACAAAGTATTGAGAATTTCGAGATATCATCGTTTTTTCAAACACTACCTGATTGTATCTTTTTTTTCCATGAAAAGTTGAATACGTATTTCATCGATATTGAACACGTAATGGGATCTAAATGTGATAAAAAATGGTTTGGCTCGTTTGAATTTAAAAAACAATTTTTTGTAACACCCCGCAACTTCTAATTTATAAGCGATGATATTTCTAAAAGTGTAACACTTTGTATGCTTAGTAGTATATATGGTTAAATATGTTCGAAATCACATACACACGAACATCGTGTATATCAAATTTAAAAAATTGCTAGATTCGAATTTAAAAAATTCAACCTTGGAAACAATATCGTGTCATTTTCCCTAGTTTTAATAATTTTCTGGAAACCACACCTCATGAATGACTTTAATCATAATAATTCGTAAATATATTTGCATTTCTTGGATTCTTGGGCGCGGTTTTACAAAGTAGGTATGTCCTCTAGTTTAAGCGTTCAAAAGTTCAACATAAAACGCGAAAGGATAATAATAGCAAAACTGCACAACATAAGGATAAAATGATATATGCGCCTTTGCTCAAAAAGTGGACGAATTTGTTTTTGTGTCATCTTTGCCTATAACAGGGTATAAGCTTTGAGTGTACTGTCTGTAGGTTAATTGAGGAGGTGGTACATTCATTTCACTTGATTAGTTGGGATTTCCTTTCCTCGTTCCTATATAATAAAAATATATGTGTAGTAGGACAAATCAGATGATTTGCCGCAAATGTCACTGCGTTAAACAATTTTTTTATCAGGGAGCCTAAAAGAAAAATCCAATTGCTAGTCAGTGACACTTTGTTTGGAAAAATGTTTTCAGAAATATAATATAGATATATTGAAAAAATATCAATTTTTACTTATCTTTGGACGTTTCGAGAACGAATCTGCTCCCGTTCTCAACATAGAAATGCAAAATATTTTTCTTCGAAAATGTTTTTCTTATAGTTTGACACCTCTCAGTGACTGATGTTGGTACAGGATGTTTTTGTCAATAGAAAAAACAAAGGGATCAAATAGAATCCAGGGTAAGACTCTTTTTACACCCAAACTTCTACACTGTAGCATTTCTGACGTCACCTTTGTATAAATTTCCGTGCGGAAAGTAGAAGTTCAATCATTTAAATTGCCTTGAGAAGGTGTATCGATTTTTTTCTCCGATTTTTATTCAGTTTTCAAGATAAAAGCGAGTTAGCGAAAATCTGATATGGTTGAAATATCAGTTAGCCCATATTTTATTGATTTGCTGATCATATGGATTCATTTCAAAAACTCCTCGTATAGATAAGAAAATGAAAGAAAATATCCTTACGTTTCTTTCCACTGCACCCCGTATACCCACTATCGATATCGGAATTAGTCATACTTGTTCGGGAATTAATCGGTTGAAAGGATGACGTAACTAATTA